AAACAGAGTTTATGTCCATACAATAAAACCTGATTACACATGTAGAAAGGTTCAAACACTTCATTCCCAGATGATGCACATAGGCCAAAAGTTTTTCGAAAAGTTGTGATATTTTGCAGGGAATTTTCTGACCTAGACCAGAGAACTGATTGGCACAATTGGGACACCATGCAGATTTACAGCCCTGGCATGATTCTAGATCACCTTGCTTTCCACAACCAGGACATGGCTTTACATTCCCATTTCGAGGAACTTGAATGGCTCTATTTCCAAGCTTGCTTTGGTCAGCTAACTCTTTGCACATATCTTTCAAAGAACGACCATCTGCTAGCAAAATGCTCCCATAACTGCAATATTGATCATTTACGTAAGAAAGATATCTGGTGGACTTCATTATGCTGTTCTTTGCAACACATAGTACAATAAATACACCATATGTGTCCCGAACAAGAAGATATAATTTAAATAAAAATACTTCGTACGATCTTAATATATAAACAAGTAGCACAGTCATGTTTCAGTTTTAAGCCATTCAATTGATCACGACAGAATTTCTGAAATGATTCAGAAATAAACATAAAAGCACAGAAAGAACACAAGACTCACGGGTTTTGTCGAGCTTCACACCTAGCATGCCGCTCAAAGGCAGAGCAAGTAATCTGGATTGAAAATTAGCAGTTAGATCAGTTTCTGACAGATTTCAGTACAACCGAACAGTAACTTCAAGCTAATAGAATAAAACAAAAATGGAACGCAGGAGGGAAACCTGACAACTCCAACTCACATCAGTCCAAGTAGACCTATATCCCTAAGGACTCACCTCTTGATTACAACAACTGCAGCATATACCTCCGCCTTGCTTCACGCCCTTAAGAATACACTGCATGAATTATGAAATCAATGGATGACTTTGTGAAATTAAAAAAATATTTCTAAAACTATCAATATAAAAAAATATAATAATTGTGAGAAGCACATTCACTGTAGTAAGTGGACCTTGAGATATTCAAACGGCTTTTCTAGTAATGGTCATCTTTACCACCTAACTAAGACGAAAAATTAATTCGCAACTAGTACCTGATTTCTAGCGTAATACCCAAGCTCAGTGCCATCAGCCAAACCACCAGGCAGGAAAAGAGCTTTGTGAAGATGTGCATCTCTAGCTGACCTCGCGATCATAGTCTGTTCTTTTCCTCTAAATATCCACAACATGACCCCCGAATGACGCATCAGTAGTTGTGCTAATTTTCAATCCAGATTAATTCACGTAATTAAGATTATCACATAAAGCGAATATAGTCAAAGATTACAATCTAATACAAGTATCGCCTCTTCGTTATGAAAAAAACTAACAATGATCATTTCCCTTACTTTGATCGAGCATCTTCTTTGTCTGTTCCAGCAGGTGAACGCTTCACTTTAAGAAGTGGCTGCGGCTTTCTTGCTTGTGTTTTCTCGCACTTCGCACAGAACCAATCCTCAAGATGTGGGCTCTTGACTCCAACACATTCTGATCAAACATTACAGCAAAATTAGCTTCTGCAAAAGTAAGATTTGATTTTGCATCAAGTGCCTTACAAAGTATGTTAACCCTGAGCAACAGAACTAAGACAGGAGTCTGAAATACCTGCATGATAAGCAGCTGAGCACTTGGCTCCCTTGCATGAGATAAATTCCCCTCCTTCATGCTTACCGCACTTCACACATGTCATTTCCTTTGAGATCCCTTGAATCTCTCCAATGGCATGTTGAAGAGCCCTTAGTATATTATCCCCACAATCTGCAGATTCTTGTCCAGCACTCAAAATGTCTCGAAGGTTCTTTCCGTTCTCTAGATATATGTTGTCACTTGGGTGGTGAGAAGTGCTCCCTGAGTGTGCCTCAAACGCTGAGATAGAAACCACCTGCCAAACCACCAACATATCAAACACAGAACACAATTGCTTTGTTTCATTTTAGTCAGTTCTAATTTCTTATTTTTAATAAAGACAAGACAAACTATAGTGCAACAGCAAACACTGTGCTCGAAAACCGTAATAAGACTTGAACGCAAATCAATGCATACGAGTTTGACTCCAGAAGAATGAATGATACCTGCGTCCCTTTGCAGATACGACAATTGCACACCACGCCCATATCCTGAAAAATACCTGTGAGCTATTCCCACAAGATAAAATAAAAATTAGTTAAGAGATTAAATTGTTATAGAATTCACAAGATCAATCTTGACAATTAAATAATTCAGTAGAAGGTCAAATTTAACAACTGAAATCAGTCGGAACTTTAAGCTCTCTTTTATCCTCAGTAGACATAACATCTTCTGAGCTACTCTTTTGCGACAACTTCGCAAGACACACGAAGTTACTGAATCACCCTTTCAACCAGGTCACAATAAGAACAAACGAGGTTCATGGAAAAACCACTTCAATACGCTCAGTACCACAGTCGCATAACAATATGGTAAAGACGATCCAGGACAAATTTCCATGTGAGGTTCTGATCCACTACGAAATTGTGAAGGAAAGACAAAGATTTCTGAAAGACTATGCGTCACAGTAAAGTCCGACAACCTGACGAGGCAGGGACACAGTGATATATATGTAAAGGAACGTAGAATGAGTATTTGAAACTGCAGATAAATCATCACGAAAATGAAAGTGCCTTCTTATTGTGGTCAGGATATATTACTTGTTCACCACGACATGAGCAGTGCACATAATGCCCTTCAAGAAGTCCTGTTGCCATCAACTCCTTAGCATTTCGTGGAGGCTTTGTCAATTTGTTACCGATAGGTACCATGGCCTTCAGCTGCCATCACACCACGCATACAAATTACTGTAAGAAGCAAATGAAACGATTCTAAGGAGAATAATCTTTTTTCTGTTACTTGTTCGTATATTTGAACAGTCCTGTAACTTAGTTTGACAACGCAAACATAAAGGCAACCCGCATGAATTCAGTATGACGTGGTTAAAAACAACACAGCCTGGACCAAGGAGACTACCATTGTCAGAGCCAACGCGACTAACTTCACACTCCAAATGATGCCTTATTGCTAGAGACACAGAGCTAGATTTGGAACTAAATGGTCTGTTCAGTAAATTAGCCCCGCACGACTACAGACATGGTCATACAGTGATGGAATTTCTTAGTCCCTATTAAAATTCATAAAATATCATGTACTTGAGTTAGCAGATACACAATCAACTCGTGTCTCGACCTGTCATGTCAGAAATATTAGCTCGGCAATAGACATTTTCAGCTAATAGCAACCCCAAGCACAATACGGCGTGTACTTGATGTGAATTCCGGTAAGTAAAAGTATATTTATGTAGTACCAACCAATACAGAAGCGACCAATCGACATAGAACCAAACCTTTGAAGCAGATGAACGGGAACCTGGCGCAGACCGTGATGGCAACTCTTCCGCCCCTTCTTGTTTCTCGGAACTATCTGATTCTTTATCACTTTCACTTTCCAAAGTAGGAATGGCATGCGGCACCCTAGAATTTCTGTAGTGTACTGTCTTCTTACGTTTTCGGCCTGTTTTTTGTTTAACGGGAGTATCACTCTCCTCCGACACTCCATTCAAAAGTCGACCGTCACTCGGTCCCCTGTTGTTAGTTGGAGAAGCCTTATCACCCTCATGAGAATCCATTTTCCTCGCTGAATCAACAGTCGCCTTCACAGGCGAGTCACGCAACGACTCTTGGTTATTTTCCTCCATCATATTTCTGCTCACCTCCTGGTTATGACCCTCGCTTCCCCCATGAGTTCCCACACTAGTGCCCGTGGTACCTGAAGATGAGCATGTTCGTTGTAAAGGTTCCGAATCCGACTCATCCATCGCAGTCTCCTTGTTGACGGGCCTGCTTGGCGCTGTGCGTGAGACTTTGCTATCCCGACTAATGTCTACAACAATATCAAGGTCATCCACGTCTTCCTCAGGGCTTCTCTGTGCGCCCATGTCTTCCACGAGACTTCAAACCTCGGTCGAACACGAGAGCAATCACTCCAGGGCTGTGATACTTGTAGAAATCTCCCACACAAAGGAATGCCTACAGCAGTCCACCAAATCCCAGATCAATCCTCTACGTAGCAGAATAGACACACAAAGCACGACCCCCACGATCACCTCCTATGATCGCCTGCCACAAAGTCTCTCGAGAATGCTCCTACAAGTGCTTAAGCTTACCCCCCGACAGCCGCAGCCAGTCAGGAACCACAGTGCCATCCAAACCCCAAACAAAAGAAAAATATTATTAACTATAATAATAAACTTCCCGCCCAAGGTCTCGACGAAAACTACAATCATTACGATCGCCCAAACCCCTCCTAGCACTCCAGTCTTCCCTGCACCTCGAAATTCAAAAGCATATCTTCTGCGGCAAGGAGTCTCACCTCCAGAGAAAAGAAAAAAAAAAAAAACACGCAAGCGATCGGCGGTCGCAGTGTACCTACGTTCCCTGATTGCTCGTGCACCGCAACTCCGTGCACGCTCACCTGCCGTCTCGCTCTTTCGTGGCCATTAGGCGCGTCCTTCCCTTCCGTGCCCCTCTCCCCCAACAAGAGCGGTGGCCAGACCCTAATCCACGCGCACGCGGAAATGAAACGGTATGGCGATCATTGCGCCGTTCGCTCGCCGGCCGGCCAGAACTAATCGATCGCTATCTTAGATTCAGTCCACTCTCCGCCGGAGTTTTCGTCCTGCTGCAACTTCGAAGGTGAGGGCGCTTCCGAAGCGCGACGGCCTAAGGTTCGGCGTCGTCCATTCGCTCGCAACCCCCGCTGTCTGTGTCTGTGTCGCGGTCGGGGTCGAGGTCTCCGTCTCCGTCGTCGCCCCCGAAAGTTCGTTCGCGTTTGGCGGGGTCCCTCGCGGTGCAAACAATGTGGCGGGGGCGGGGGGGCGCGGGGGTGCGGGGGCGGGCACTCGCAAACCTGTCTGCGTCGTCGGAGTGGATCCATCCCCCTCCTTCGACGTCAGTCAATGAATGACAGGTCGGCCTCCGCACGCGAGTCCAGGCTCCGCGAGTTTATTATGAGTCTGGTTAGCTGGCGGGCGGGCGAGCGAGCGAGCGAGGGGAGAGATATCTGCGCAGCATTTGCAAGTCGCCGGCGCCGCTGCGTCAGATGCGAGGTGCTTCGTCGGCATCGATGCTGCTTCCTTCCCTTACCTCGCTTGGTTGCTTGGGTCGGAGCTCCACGTTAATCTGTTGCATAAAACCTGATTGCCCGAGTGAGCCTCGGCACAAATATAGGCGGACCCGCCTTCCCTCCACATCCTCCCATAAAAGCCCATTCGCCCCTCTCCCCCTCTGCTTCACTTCTCGCCTCCACTCTCCACGCTGGATACCATGTCATCCCTTTATGCCTCCACGCTGGATGCCACGTCGTTATCTCCCTTAGTGCCTCCAGGCTGGATGCCATGTCACTCCTCTCGTGACGGCCCGATTTCACGCCGCCTTTTAAAATCTCTTTACTACCTTAATGTTTATCAATAAAAGGAACTGTAGAAAATTATTTTTGTGCTTGTGTGTGATAATTATTCTTTTCAGCTGACGTTCAACAAACTCAAGCCTTTAAAATGATATTAAAAATGTTTGTGTCTAATGTGAATTTATGCATAATTCAACATATTTTCAATTAGTAAGAAGATTTTACTATTTAAAATAAGTGCAATATTAAACATTTTAACTTTAATACTTAAATTATTACTTTATTACATTCTACATAGAATCAAACTTTGTTAGCCTAAAAATATCATGTTTTAATTTATTTATTTTTAATGCCAAATATTTTGTCTTATAAATGTTATCTGAAATTATCATTTACTGAATTATCCAATATGTAAATAATGATCACATTCTTCTAATGTAGGACATTTTGCTTAGAGTATGATGTTTTTCATGAAATAATAAAAAAATGTGTCTTATATTAAGATGGCAGTTGTGAGATAACAACATTAAATGTGGTTTAACAAATTTCTCATTGGAGAGGGCATTGCATGCCAAACAATACCATTTGCTTCACTTGATGAAAATAAACTTTATTTTTTTCTATGTTGACTTATTAGGCTTAAATTCACTAACATCTACTAATGTCTTTCATGCCCTTTATTAGTCAAAGTTTTGAGTTCTAGAAAAAGTAGAACAATGTCCTATATTAGAAAGACTTGACAATTACCAATTCATTTTGTATTTAGTATCAATTAATATAAGGTTTTAATTTCATTTAATCTAAAAAAATCTCTCCTTCGTCAAGCTTTATATATGTCTTACATTGCACTTTAAAATTTTGCGTGTGTACTAATGTTATGCTCTGCTCGTCAAGAAGTTTTACTGTATAAGAAGATAAAATTACTTTAAATGTTAGTTTAAACTAACATTTATAGCTTGTATATGTACAAATCTAAAATGTTAAAAACCGCCTTGTTTCAAAAATTAAAGAAAACATAAGTTTTTCATGTTTGGTTTAGTAAGATAAATAAACGCTTTGTAAACATGAATATGGCATAGCTTTAAAAAAATCTGACATATTTTGGAATATTGATGTATTATATTACATCTTGATAATGAAAATAAAAAATTGTATGAAGCTTTCGTTATGTTTTGGAGAATGAGCTCAATTGGTAGTGATGACAGTATTTAGAGAAGATGTCAATTCATTGAGGCAAATGAACAAGTATGTGGTGACGCTATCAAATGTGATTTGGTAGTGATGTCATTTAAAGGCGTTGTAATATTTTAACCCATTTTACAAGCAAAACTTTCACGTGGTTTTGACACAAGATACCCAATCATATTAAAAAGCAAGAAGTCTTGAATAAAGTTGGATGAAAAATATACCACAAGTGAAGCATTGATCAGAGAATAATTTGGTGTCTTCATAACCTATAATTTTTGCTGGGAGGTATAAAAATTGCTATAGGTTTGGTAGTAGTATTAACAGGTCACAATATTAGATAAATTTTTGTAAAAAATATTACTCCTCATTGTATTAATTAAAATTGCATATATATGTATGTGTGTGTGTGGATATATATATATATATATATATATGAATATGTATTTACGAATTTAGACATTTTTTAAACCAACAAAATCTTAGTCAAATGTCCACTTCCACCAACAACCATGAAAACTCGAACAGTTTCAAGCATAACCCTAAATGTAAGGCGATGAACGATACAATATGGATGGAAGTTACTATCACTTTCATTCATCCAAGGGGAGTCAGAGAAAGCGACAGGACGGGGACCCATCACTATGGATATAGACGGCGTTGGTAAGATCTCGTATGACCACGAGAGCGCAGGTTCCCGAGGGTTCGCAATGGGGCAGGGTTTGTATGGACGCTTTGGAGCCAAGACTCTTCTGCCATCGTCTCTACCATTCTCCCCCCCCCCCACCGTCCCCTGTCTAAGGAGCTTCCCTGTTGCTGCTGCCGTTTTTTGAACTCGTCGCTCACGACATTTGCCAGTGCCGCTGCCTCTTCCGTCCTCTGCCGTGCTCCGTAGGTAACGCACATTTGTTATTACTGTTATTACAGTTTCTTTTATCGTCTTCATCGGCCTTGTATTTTAGATTATCGTTACTTTTCTTTGTCTCATCGGTTTTTTGTTGGAGTTCGCGAGCGTTTGGTTCTTTGCCCGTCGGAAGGCTTCTTAGGATTCTAGTGTGTTTTGCGGGATGCGGCAATATTCGATTAGAGTTTCTGTTCTATTCCGTAGGGCCGAGATGACAGTGTAGCTGCGCGGAGGTTATAGGATCGTATAGTATGAGAGTTCACATCGCGTTGTGTATGTCTGGCGTGTGCACACCATCGAGGTCTTTGTCCTTAAATGCGTCGCGAGTAGGTTTTGCTAGCTCGTGAGAGAGGTAGCCTCCCTTTAGTGTCGCTTTGAGAAGGCTTATCGGGGAATCATCGACAAGTAGGAAGCTGCTGATGTTCGTGTTCGAACGTCTCCTGCTGGTGATGCCTATTTGTAGGGTATGGGCGCATTATTTTTTCATGTCTTCACCCTCACATTACCTGGAGCTTGCGCTTCTGCGAGGATTTTGGTTATCAAGTCGAGTTTTATTGTTTTATTCTGTTTGTTGAATTCAGTTTTAAATTTTTCCCCCCCCTGTAGTATGTTGTGACTTTTGGTCTCTTCACCGCATTGTTAGGGCTTTCCAGGCTCTCCTAGTTTCTCTCAAGCACCTGGGATACCTGCTCACTTGCACGCGCCTTTTTCCTCGATAGTTTTTGTTGGGGACAGATTCTCTTTTATTTTGTCATGGTTTTTTTATTATCGAAGTCGTTCGTCCGAGCTGGGGTGTCAACTTGCGGGATTAGAAACGTTAGGGTGAGTGGTGAAGTGAGAGAGGGTGGTCGTAGTGTGATGAGTTTGTTCAAATTTTCTTATCGTTTCTAAACTTTTGTTTTCTATCGTCAGGGTAAGCGGACTAGCGGGCGACTTCCTTACCTGCTGTGACGAGCGACCTACCACAGTGTAAGGTGACGGCGTGGTCCTGACAGTTGGTGTGGGGACGGCTGCGCGGTTGTGGGCGGCTGATTAACTTTGTGCTGACTGCGTTGTCGTTACTCTATGCTTCCACGACCATACTTGGTGTTAGTTTCGGCCGCCAGATTTATCAACTCATAGTCGTCTTTGGGAAGAGTATTTGCGTGAAAATGGACAGGGGTAATGTGGCAGCTGCTGCCGATGCATTTTTGGCTGGGCTTGAGAATCAAGCAGCCGCTGAACATCTGAAGCAGCAAGAAGTGAATGCCTTCGCACCCAATGAATATGCCTCTGGGGATTACGAGTCTCACAATGGACATGGAATGGGCTATCGTACCTATGGTCAGGGTGAAGCTCAAGCTCCATGGTCGCAGCAACAGTCTTATGGTCAATCAGTAGCATACGACCAACATCAATCAAATCAATCGCAGGATTACTCGGCCAATGGGTCTGAAGCAGCAGGTGGAAGTATCGGTGGGGAAAGAGGCACGAATGGTTATGATGGCTACATTGACATGGTTGGACGTGGAGGTTCGGGCTATAGTCAAAACAATGGAGCTAGTGAGTTCGGTACAGGGATAAGTAGCAATGAAGAGTGCAAGCATTACAATTATGGAGCAGCTCCTGTGGAAAACCATAATGCTGTTGAAGGAGAAAATGGAGGTGCAAGAGGGGTTAACGGAGAGGGAGGGAGCGATGGTAATAGTGACCAAAATGCTAGTGCAGGTGTAGATGGGAGTTCTGGTAAGAAGCGAAGAAGCCGCTGGGGTCCTCAAGAAGGTGAAGGAGAAGGAAACGATGCCGAAGGGTCAGGGGGCAAGAAACGGAAGTCTCGATGGGCTGCTGAAGAACCAAACCTTCCATTGCTTGGTCAAATTCAGCTTCCTGATTTTGTTAAGGAGCTTACAGGTGGAGTTGACCTCGATCCAGAACTGCAAGCACTCAATATTAAACTTCTTGATATTAACCGTAAGTTGCAAACTGGTATGGTGCTCGACCCCGTTGGCGATGGCAACCGTTCTCCTTCTCCTGAGCCCATCTATGACAACATGGGTATAAGGATTAACACGCGAGAATACAGGGCCAGGGAAAAGTTAACACGTGAGAGACAGGAAGTGATTGCTATGCTGATTAAAAAGAACCCTGCCTTCAAGCCTCCGGCAGATTACAAGCCGTTGAAACATTATAAGAAGCTCTACATACCAGTGAAAGAGTATCCGGGGTACAACTTCATCGGGTTGGTAATTGGCCCTCGTGGCAATACTCAGAAGCGGATGGAGAAAGAAACGGGAGCTAAGATTGTCATACGGGGAAAGGGTTCAGTCAAAGAGGGGCGGTCCGCTCAAAAGAGAGACTTAAAGCCCGATCCTTCTGAGAATGAGGACTTACACGTTTTGGTAGAAGCGGACACAGAGGATGCTTTAGAGAAGGCTGCAGGTATGGTTGAAAAGTTATTGGTGCCGGTTGAGGAAGGTCGAAATGAACACAAACGAGCACAGCTGCGGGAGCTTGCAGCCCTGAATGGAACCATAAGGGATGATGAGTATTGCCGGCTATGTGGGGAGCCTGGGCACAGACAGTATGCCTGCCCTGCTAGACACTCCACTTTCAAAAGTGATGTTTCGTGCCGCATTTGCGGAGACGGTGGTCATCCAACAATCGATTGTCCGCTGAAAGGGTCCGCGCAGGGGAATAAGATGGATGATGAATACAAGAATTTCTTAGCTGAACTTGGCGGCGGTGGTCCTGATGGAAGCGTTTCACCTGCTGGAACTGGGGGTGGCGGAGGGGAGGTCGGCTCCGCTCGTCAATCAGGTCCCACTTTGGCATTACCTGGGCCTCAAGGAAGTCCCAGCCTTCCATGGGCCGGAGGCACAACAGGTGGTGCTGCCATGGGTTCAGGAGGAGGGCGGAGTGGCCCGGGCGGACCAGGTCTTGGTGCTGTTCAAGGGGGTCCTCCAGGTGGAGGCTTCAGTGGAGGGAATGCAATGGGTCCTCCCAGTTTGGGGGGACCACAAGGTGTTGGAAATACTTATCAAGGTGGACCGAAAGGTGGGGGTGGCAAGTTCAACAAGGATGACGATGCTAATCTCTACGTGGGATATTTGCCAAGCTCAGTTGACGATGAAGGTCTAGCGCGTCTATTTGCACCTTTCGGTGCTGTGGAACACGCAAAGGTTATCAGGGACCGTCTTACTGGTGCTTCCAAGGGTTATGGGTTCGTGAAATTTTCTGATCCTTCATCTGCAACTGCCGCAGTGACTCACCGGAATGGTTACCGATTAGAAGGTAGAGTTCTTGCTGTGAGAGTGGCAGGACCAGCGCCACCTCCTAGAGGTGTGGGTGGAGGAAATGGAGGGCCTCCTCAAAATGGTGATCCTATGGGAGGGGGTGGGTATGCCCCTCAGTTACCAAGTGGTGGGCCTCCTCGAGGACCTCCAGGAGGTGGCCATATGACCCCTCCTCCATGGGCTACCTCACCTGGTCCTATGCCTCAGTACAATCCATATGGTCCTCCCCCACTTGGTCCTAATTCTTACGGTCCTCCAATCAGCCAAGGTTACGGTCCCCCTCCCCAAGGGCAAGGTCATCATGGTGCCCCTCCTGGTCACTACGGTGGTCCATACAATAGCTACGCTGGTGGACCACCCCCTCAGGGTGGTCCTCAGGGGCAGCCAGGCGGTGTGGATGTTGGAGTGCATGGGATGCCTCTTCATGGGCCTGGAATGGGCGGTATGCCACCAGGTGGGCAAGGGGGAATGGGCCCAAGGCCAGGTAATACAGGGCCTGTTGGAGGAATGGCAGTAGGAGGTTACGGCGCTGCCACTCAATACCATGGTTACTATGCTCCCCCTCCTTCAAAACCTGCTCCGCCTATCCCTCCACCTTCTGTGTCATCTGGTGGAGACACAGCTGCTTCCAGTTGGGGTGGGAACGTGGGTGTAACTCCGGTTTCAAGCGGACAGAGCAATGCAGTTGAGTCAGAGTATGAAAGGTTTATGTCAGAGATGGGGCGCTGATACCACGATTGAGTCTAACAAAAATGGTAGGTCTTGGTTGATATAAACAACTTGGGGTGTCGGGTCTTTACATGGCTGTCGTGTATCGTATTATTGGACGTTATGCTGGAGGCGGTTGGGTTGCGGTTAAGGTAAACTCTGACGAGCTAGCGGTCGTTGCTTTACTTACCGCCTTCAATCGTGAAATAGATGGTTTATGGAGGGGCGTTCTATGAATTGAAGTGGCGTCCATCCATGCGAGAGCTTATGTCGAGGATATAGGAACCAATCTATGCTGGAGGTAGTGTAGAGATGCAACAATTACGTGACCCTTGTTCTCTGTAGCCACCAAGAAGAGGCAGCCTTTGTGACATTATCGCAGATTGTACTACACAGCTTGTTTATCAGGTTGTTGGACTTGATTGAACTGTCCCAGACTGGAAGCAACGCAGGTGCCTCAATTTCTCGAAGTTCATACCAAAGCAGGTGGACGATTTTGTGCTGCAAAATCAAGAATCTTTTGATGACAGGAAGATATTGAAGACCTGGTGCAGAGATGTTCTAACTCGGTACTTTGGCGTGGATCCTAACGTGGTGTTCCTGTGGAATACTGATGCTGAGTATGGGCAGATTTTTAATAGAATGCCAGTTCCTGCAAATTTTTATGGTACCTGCCTTGTTATTTCAAGTGCATAACGATGTAGGTTGCGGCGATTTGTGACATGTAGTGTTGAGAATGCTGATGGCAGCTGTGCTGACGGGATTTCTATCGCAGGGCTGACGTTTAGTATTGATAGGAGCTCAGTGTGAATCAAGCTTTAGTACTAGGTTGTCTTGTTGACTATAAGTTCATATGGATGTTATTTCATAAGTTGCGTGTTATTCACATGTTTCTCGTGTGATACTAACGTTGATGCTTAACGTGGTACTGGCTTCCTTGTTGTGATTTTTGAGATGGGTTAAGCTCAAATTGTACTTTTGTTGGTATTATCCAGGATTCTCCTTAACGCTTGTGTATTATTTGGTGACTAGCCCTGTCTGTTTTTTCACTGTTGTGTACTCTTCAATGTTTGCGAGGATTTAAATTATTTCGTTTGTTGTAGACGATGGATAGCAGTTTTTTTGACGTTACCAAATTGTTAGTCTAATTTCACCAGTATGAAGTGGCTGTTTACGTGCTGTTCGACCTTTCCATGCCCCATATTTTATGGTGCTTTAAACAGTGATGTCACTGAATTGCAGATATACTTTGGTGCCGGACTCACCTTGCGGTTACAGTCAGAGTAATCCTAGTTGTCATTGTGAATGAATTGTTACTTGTGGATCTTGTCTCTACCAAACTTAGATCATGAATCTGGCCGAACCCTCGACTAGTCTCGATGGTTTGTAAGATTGAATGCGTCTTTCGCTGTGCCTTGTAATCTTCCTATCTAACTGTTCATGTCCAGGATATCATTGTATTTTCCCTTCATTTTTTCAGGTATGGACTGACGGATCCATTCTTCCAGTTGACAGGAAGCTAATTTTGTCTATTTTGGATATTTTTAAGAGGATAGCAGTTTATGTTGTGTGATCTTCACTGCATTTTATTTACTACTCCTGTATCTGATAATCGTGTTTTTGGTCGATTTTCATTTTATTTTATTTATTTTAATGGGATTTGAATGAAGCAATTCCGATTTTGAAGGTAAAGAGACTTTTACCGTGATTTCATATGGTTATTGTTGTCTTGAGAGGCCTTAAAGCCAAGGATTAAAAACAATTAGCGGCATGGTACAAATGATTTCGGCTGGTTATCTGTAGCTGTATTTCCTTGAGTATCCAACTTCCTACAAGTAGAGCTGGTTTACACCTTTTTAGTAATGTCGATAATTACGTACATGCGATATTGTTTACAAACTAGGATCAGGGCAAGTGAAGGATCTGCGTGGTAAGCATTTAATTGATCTGTTGCTTTGGAACTGTACTTTTCCATTGGTTTTTGTGCTTTTTGTCACTTGCAGCTGCTATGAATGAGGCGAAATCAAGCCAATTTATGTAATCAGTTCTTTCTTTCCAAGCAAGTGTGGACTAGCATGGTAGTTCTAGACGAGGTCCTTGATTATAGCTGCTGCGGTCCATACTTCGCCATGAGACCATGTATAGCTTGTAACGAACCCCAGAATTGTTAGTCTGTCGTTATAGTTGCTAGCTACCTAGCAGAGATCTGAAACGTACACTGAGAGTTTTAACTCATCATAATAGCTGATTGTAAATCCTACACCTACTAAGGAAGAGATGTTACCTGGTACTTCAAATGTTTGTGAGATATGGACACTTCAAGTGTGGAGGTCCATTTCAAACGGTAATCAATAGCCCGTGAGAGTAACATATACAACTTAGAGTTTTGAATATGCCTCGTGAATTTTTCGGGAGAGTACACTGCTCCTGCTATCATTGATAATAATTCGGTCAATAAATGTCACCTGTGACCTGCTAACTCTGTTAATACATGTGCGTCGTTGACAAGGGTCGCAGATGCTGCTGAATGTAATGTGTGCAACTAAAGTGTTTTGCTTTCAGTTTTGGGAAATACGTATGCCTGACAATATATAGTATTGCACGTGCCGAAGGGATGTCTGAAGTGTCAACACATGCAGACAGCAGCCTCAAATGTTGAACCATGTATGTTATTTACAAGATCAAATCTTTCGATACAACAATACTGGGGAAACATCTCACGGGATTATGAAATACAGCACAGAAAACCACCACCCCTTCACTTTCAACACACAGAAACGTGTCATTGACACAAAACTCATCATTTATTTATCGACGTTAAATTGACATGATCAAAACATACACATGTATACACACAGCCAATCTTGTTTTTAAAAAAATGCAGTTATAGAAAGAGTACCCCAAAAAAAAGGCTTTTTCATGAGGAGTATCAGAACAATCTTTAAAACGATGCACACATAATTTTTTAAATATATATATATATATATATATATATATTAATGGTTCATCTATTATCACACGTAATCACAAAGGAAAAGCACAGCAACCAAACGCAACAAAAACTCAAAAAGTCCCCCCTTTATATAAGACACACAACGGCGAGTAAAAGAAACACTGACCTTTCGATATAGTTTTCCCAGACGTTTCTTTCAAAGACGGTTTCTTTCCAGGAGGATGGGGTCAAGGTATTTTTAATTAGCTGGCATCTGTTCGGAATCATGTGAACGAGGGAATAATCCCCCCCCCCCCCCCCGCCTCGCCTACAACGCTCCTATCCACATCGGTCAAGGGGTGGGAGGGCTTCTTCACACAACCTGAGATCGAATCTCTGTGTCGGCAGGAGAGAATGGTTCGAACGTCTCAACATACCCCTTCGCCATCGTCCATGTCTTCTCCTTCATCGTCTTCTGTTGTACTGCCCTTCCACCGAAGCTGTTGCTGCTGGCACCGCCGCAGCTGCAGGGCAGGCCTCACTCAGAAATCGATGTGACCCACAACATTCTCCTTCTCCTACTGCATCCACTTCTTCTTCTGTTGCTTCTCGTCTTCGCAACTTTCTCCCTTCCCCACGCTTTGAATCTCCCTCGCATTCTGTCTGGTAGTTGCTTTGTTTGTAGTCTGTTGACCTTTTAGTTCCGAATGTGCTAGCTCGTTTCTCGCCGGCGCCGTGAATTTTCTCCTCCGGAGAAGTGTGTCTCTTTTTTGGGGGGTAGGGAGCGACGAACCGAGACCGCATCCATGCGCAATTCCTCCTCCTCTTCTCACAAGGCGGACAATGCCGTGGCCATCCCTCCTTACTTCAAGGCCGTGTCCGGGTCTCTGGGCGGCCTTGTGGAGGCTTGCTGCTTACAGCCGATTGATGTGATCAAGACGCGACTGCAGCTCGACCCCCGACGCGAGTACAAAGGCATCTATCATTGTGGGTCTACTATTGTGGAGCGTGAAGGGGCGCGCGCGCTATGGAAGGGCTTGACCCCCTTCGCCACGCATCTCACCTTGAAGTACACGTTGCGGATGGGCTCCAACGCCCTCTTCCAATCCGCGCTTGCGGATTCTAAGACCGGCCAGCTTAGCGCCGCGGGCCGTATGGCTGCTGGCTTCGGTGCAGGTGTTTTGGAAGCTGTTGTGATCGTCACTCCTTTCGAGGTTTGTGTCACCGTCTCGTGACTGCTTCTCTCTTTTACTTTTTTTCTTTTTTTTGAAGCTTGCTCTGTTTTCAGAGTTATTAGGGTTTTTAGGAATTCTCGTCGCGTGGAGTGGATGGTGTGGTTTCCTCTTCGAGAATTTCACCAATTACATATCGCGTTCTTGTTTGGTGTTCTGTTGTTTGCCTGTGTCTGCTTAGAGCTAGAACTTTCGTGGTATCACCTAAATTTTTGTGGATATCCACCAGTTTAATTCATTTGAAAGCTGATCGAACATGGGTCCGAATTCGAATAGTCACGAAGTGTGTCTATTCTTCGAGTACTTCGAGGCTCTATCTTTTTCTAAGGCCGAATTTCTCGTGGTGAGGGTCGTCCTCCTATGATACATACCTTGTCTTGTATTTTACGACCATACATGCCTTTTACTCACTCTCTGCTGGCCAGCACAGTAACCTAGTTGTGGTTATATCTGAACTCGTCGATAGTAAGCTTACTTCATGGACTATCTTCTGGGTGTGTATCGTTGATCTTTGCTAGCTGTGTAATTGCTAAACTGGAAAGTCAATTGCACGATTCTATTTGACACGGAGGTCTACTTTTGCAGGTTGTGAAAATCAAGCTTCAACAACAGAGAGGATTGGGGCGAGAGTTGCTGAAGTATAAGGGGCCTGTGCACTGTGCCACGACAATTGTGCGTGAAGAGGGGTTGAGGGGTCTCTGGGCAGGGGTTGCTCCCACCATTCTACGGAACGGAACGAACCAGGCTGTAATGTTTTCAGTGAAGAACGGTGTTGATCAGCTACTGTGGAAGAAATACGAGGGGGATGGTGTCACTCTCTTACCATGGCAGTCGATGGTGTCAGGATTTCTGGCAGGTTTCGCTGGACCTGTGGCCACAGGACCATTTGATGTAGTCAAAACACGTCTTATGGCACAAAGTCGAGATGCAACTGGTGAAGTTAGATACAGAGGATTGGTGCATGCCATCACTCGTATATATGCTGAGGAAGGGTTGTTGGCATTGTGGAAGGGTTTGCTACCTCGTTTGATGCGTATACCTCCAGGCCAAGCCATCATGTGGGCAGTTGCAGATCAGGTAACTGGCCTCTACGAGCGCAGGTATATCAAGTCCCTGAACGCAGCCACCTAGAGATGGAAATGAAGGGATGGGACTTTCTTACCTGTCTATCATTTTGTAGATCTAGTTGCTTCACTCTTGAGAGGTTTAATGTTTCGAGGTTATTATCGACCATTGATTTGGGAACGGTTATGAAAAAAAAAAGGTTTTCTACATTCTATGTTTCGTAGTTCATTCAGACGTTTGGTAGTTCATTTTTACGTGGAATAAATTCTTCATGCGACTATTGAATTGCACTGGCAGCGGTAACCTGAAGTTTAGTAAAATGGAAAGAAATAATGTTGAGGGTTTGAGCAAGCCGGCCAACGAGATGTTGGAAGCTGAACCTTGAAGTGTGTTGGCATGATTTTTTAACTGTGACGTGAAGAATATGTCTCGTTTGATATGCATGGTACGTGTTGTGATGCATATCAGTGTAGGTTAAATTATGATATCTGTACACTGGAGAATAAAATCAATGTGGTGTTGAGATAATTGTGAATAGAACTTGCCGAAGGGATAGATTTTGTTCAGGTAAGGGTGCACAAAAGTTTATATAATTCTAAATGTAACTCTTGGACTTGAAGGGGGCTTTTGTCGGGAGCATTAGAGTAGTATTTCTGCCAGTGTTCAATTTTTGAATTCTTGTTTATAACTGTAATTTTTATCATTTTTTCACCAATAAAACTTAGATAATGATTGGATCTTCTCCTTTTATCTTGCTTGGCTAAGAGTTAGAATGGTAAAGAATATTGTTTGCCTTAATATTAAATGTTTGGTCATAATATCTAAGTATTTTATGTAGGAAAAATAAAAAATTAATGCATACCTTGATTTATTAGATAATTATTTTTGTAGTGTTATCTAAATTAGTATATATATGTACCTCAACATGTACATATAAATAGAGGGAATGAAATAAGTGGTCTTGTTTTACAATATATTAGTGTATTGTTCATAGATATCAAAGCTATAAATTTTAGCTCAAGCAAATCATGAGGCAATGATTCTTAATTAGATCATAGTAGATTCATTGAAAGCAACATATAGACTTTTTTTTTTTATAAAAGTCATTATAAAAGTAACGAACATTTCTATTTGAAATTTTTGTTACTTAAAATTACATACATAAAAATTTTAAAACATGTGAGATGCAATGAAAATATTTATATTTTTATTGGCATGAAATTGCTTGCAATGATTACATTGACAACAACATTTTAGCTAATATATATGTATGGAAATATATATATATATATATATATATATATATATATACATATATAAATTATTCAAATATTGTTTCTAAGTCTATTAAAACTCAATTAAAATATGCATATGATTTACTAATTTCCAATGTAGATCCCATTAAAACATATTTTTGACCAATTATATATTATATTGTATTAAAAAAATAGGTGGATTCTTTAGCAAAAAGATTTATATCAGTGTTTAACAATAATTGAGGCTAGAAACCATTAGTAATTGTTACTAGTCTATTTACAAATTTAAAATATATTATTTTATTGATTATAATTATTATTTTTTTCCATAAGATTTAGATATATTTAATTTTTTTTTTCTTACAACTGAATTGACAAAAAGATTCAGAAAATCAAAGAAATCAAATAGAAATACATCAACATTAAAGTCCTAGCAACAGAACTACATAAATACTATTTACTAATTAAGATCTCAATCCAAATTCTTCTAAGAATAATAACAATTTCACAAAGTCAAACAGTAAATCCAAACAAGTATATGAAAATTCTTATACAAACAAACAACTCTTCATGACTCATTACTACATCCTTCTAATCAACCATCTAATGAATATTATTGTAATAATCTATATGTCTCTATCAATGCTTTTTTATATTTAGTTACATTATTCTTCCTTTTAAAACAACTGGTTCTCTCAACATAACAATCTTACTTAACCTTATCAACAATTACAACAATCATATTAAATTATTTATAATAAATATAAATATATACATATATATATATATATATATAGATGTTGAGTAGAATTATGATGAATTATAAAATTTTAACCATAATTAATTAAATAAAAATATAAAAGTTGAAATATTAATTTAAAAATTTTTTGTATTTCTTTTAGTCTTAATTTTTTAATTCTTTTGTTATGCATTTTTTAAAACCAGAATATTATACAATTAGTGAACTTATTATTTTGCAATATGTTATTATTTCTAATAATTTCTAAGTGTTTTCTTATTTTATTTTCTTGTGACCTAAAAATACTTGACACAAACTATCTATACTATTAAATGTTAAGTTTAAAATTACTTGAAAAAACACAAATACAGTTAATGATAAGCTTATTTCTTATAGAGGAATTTTTTTCTAAACTTTACTAAAGAAACATTTAATATTATATATATATATATATATATATATATATATATATATATAAAGTTTTTTGTTTTTTAAAGATTATACATCCAAAAATAATTCACTATCAAAGTTATACTTAAGTTTATTTGAAAGGTTCTTATTGAATATTTGTATCAACTTGGTTTTTATTACTTAAACTATTTTGAAGATTCATAAAAAAAAATCTATTGCCAAATAATGATTGTTATTCAAACCACAAGATCCTTCTTAACTTTTGTAATAATTCCTAGAACCTTATACTAAATATCATAAGGTTAGTTTTTGTGACAAAGCTTCTCTAAAAATCCATGTCTAATTATTTAACTAAATACTTATTTTAGCAAGTTTCTTTGATGGTTTGATTGTCAATCTTTATTCTCATGTTCATTTTAGTAGATTTTGTTGAGTGTTATAAATTAATTGGACTACAAGACCTATTGATAGTGTGTCAACACATATAAAGATAATACTAAGATTATTTTTTTTCTTATTAATTCTTCTCCTAAGTTCATGAATCATTTGTGACAAAAATACAAATATTAAATAATATTTGAATCATTTGTGACAAAAGCTAAACCCTAAATCTCATGGCTTAGAAATAAATTTGTGAATCAGATTCTATGTTTCAAAATGCATACATTTCATTTACTTTTGTTCAAATCAGATATAATATGCTCTTCGGAAGTATTCATCCAAAATAAAAATAGAACGTAGAATTTGCTCACAGGGCCATAACGGCAACAGAACATCGTCACAAGCAGGGCTTTTTTTCTTTATTATTTATCGTAAGTGATTTTGGTGGTTCAATGCGTGTATGTTATTATGTAATAATGGCTTCTGTAAATTTACGTTCTTCCTGTATACAACCACAGGAAGACAAGAGATAGATAATGGTTCTAATATGAAGGGTAATAATCATTGGAAAGGTAGTCTTCAAATTTTTTAGGGCTTCAAACTGACAATCTCACTTCACATGTAGTGAATTGCGATGTTCGTGGACATTTGAATTATTGTCCAACAGAAACTGGAACAAAGCTGAAATAACGTTGAAACTGAAGCAAAAACAATTTGCATTCAATCATTTGAATTAAAGAGAAAGTTAGACTGTGATCTCACCCTTTTCTAAGGGGACTTCAGTTGGAATGAGGTTTTCATTGAAGAATTTGATCTGGGTTTACATATAAACCCCTTTGAGAGACGGAGTGCACTAAGCCCACGTCCAATAGTTAAACTGGAAAATTTTGCCAATGAAACTGGAGGATTTGCCAAGTTTTAAACCCACAAAATGTTTCCTGAAGCCAGCTCCAAGGTGTTTTAAGGCTATGAAAAGCACCTATTCCTTCAGGGCACGGCAAAGTCTCGACTCTCAGCGGTAAATTTCCTGCAAGAATAATTTTGAAAGGAAGCAGAATTGTGAACCCCGTATCCATGGATCGGCAGTCTCGCCATTCCTTTTTAATGGCTCTTCCCCCTCATAAGAGCCTGTAGACTCTCTTGCAATGAGTTGCTCCAATTAAATTCGCTACACTCTGGAGATTCTTAGTCGAAAGACTGAAGCACCATTAGAAGGGAGCAGAAATGAAGTAGCTGATTCCTCAAATGTCATCATACTCAGCTGACAGCGTACGCGTTTTTCAATTGTCTCTCGTTATTGTATGAAGGCTTGAATTTCAGGCCTGGCTTCGCCATTGGAGAACGACCAGATTTCTTCGGACCCGCCTTCCTCTGTCTGCCATGCCACCGTCCAGCAGACTGCACAAGGGATTGGCCTAAAAGAGTAGCAATATGAGTAGCCATCTCTGCAGCCTTGGCTTTTTGAACAAAAAGCTCCTCTGGGAAATGCTGACTTAGCCACAAATACATGGATAGCACCTGATGTCGAGTTTCCAGGTCCATAAGTTCAAACTCATCACGAGCAGAGTTGAGAGGTGCACCCATTTGTACAACCACAGGTATCTTCTGACTAAATGCCAATGCGTAACGATACAAAGCGCCCAAAGACTGCGGGTCCCGGACATTGACAGGAGTAAAACAAAAGTTGAAGCGATCTTCCAGTGACAGTCCTTTCACCTTGTCAAGTACACTAGCTACTCTCTGCAATTCGTGACAACGATAAAATATGAGTTTTATGATCACCAGAAAAAAATAGTCTGCAGAAAATAATAAGCCCAACAAATTCTCGAGGGGGCAAAACGCAAGGTTTAAAGGTCAGTCGGAATTAAGAAATTAAATAATCATTGGACATAATAGGTTCCAGAGTCCAGCCTCTGCAAGCGAAATCTGCCTATTTAAAAAACCAGGTTGAAAGCAACTAAATAGGATAAAACGATTAAAGGAAACTAATCAAAAGAAAAAAGCAGCGTTCGGTATGACATAAAAACTTCGTTTGGGCCGTAACGAAGTTACACTCCGTTCCGTATGTTAGAAACGTATTCTGACGACACCAATACAAGACGTTCCAGAAAGTATGTCACTTACCTTCAAATTATCATAGCGGCAAAGGAAGTATGAACCATCCAACCGACATGTCTCCGCAAATCTACAAGCAGAGAGCAGATCTTAAGGACATTCGCAGAAAACACAACATTCCAGAATTGCAGGAGCCAAAATTCACCGCAGTATACATGTACTCTCAAAGAAAAACCGATGAAAATACATAAAACAATGTGTAATCTTGTAATCTATGCGTGGTACATATTGATCATACCTCTCCAACAATTGAGCAAATGAAATCTCCGGCAATTGACTTGCAAAAAGCTCAACCTGTCATATAAACAAAGATGAATTGCAAATCAAATATCACGCAACAAAACGTCGAGACACGATAATTATGTCAATGCAAATAACTGTAGTAAATACATAAGCATATTTAAAACGATCATGAATCGCTTTGTGTTGGCTTCAAAGAAAGCATATTTAAAACCACTCATTGTTGAACTGGTAACCAGATGAATATGTTAAAACTCTGTATATCTAGTAAATTTAATATTGAAAGCCAACAAATTGGACTAAGAAATTGCAAACCTGTTCATATACAGGAAATAAACCTGCCGCAGTGGCGGGCTCAAAAGACTGCTGTAACGATTGCTCCAGATACGGTATGTCCTGCGAGTAGAAAGCGGTGGTCACACCATCTGGAAATATACTCCCTCGGCGTCCCGCCCTCCCCGCAATTTGCTTCACCTGAGGAGCTGGAATAGGCCTCTTTGCATCACCATCAAACTTGTCTAGAGAATAGAAGACGACTCTTCTGATGTTGAGATTCAGGCCCATGCCCACAGCATCACTTGCAACAAGGACGTCATATCCACTATTTGGGTCATTGAACAACTTGGCCTGCTGAGTCCTTGTCTCAGGTGGAAGGGCACCGTAGACGACACAGCACTTTTGGTTTGTTGCTAGTTCCACTTCCCGCTGTTGCCGACAGTGAGTCAAGAATATAGAAATTTGTCAGTAAGAACTGTCATAAAATACTAAAAAGCATGTGACCTCAGGGATTTTCCCAACAATAAGATTTCAAGCTCATCTGTAACCTACTCGTTTTTTGTAACTGCTGTTGACAATAAGGCGGAAACAAGCATACTGGAAAATGATGGGCATAGAAATCAGCATAAGCATTCTACTTGAATCCTCTTCAAAAAGTCCAGGTTTTCCCATGTTTCACATAAAATCAAAATGCTTGTCCTTACATTACGTCCAGAAAATACGAACCTTCACATCAAAGATATCCTTCCGAGAGAAAGCAACTATGCAGTCCCCGGCTTCAACGTTCGAAAAATCACCATTGAGCGATTTCTGCAATAAAGATGAAAGAAAGAAATGAATTGTGTGAAAACTGAACTGACTAGCGAGTCTAAACAACAACATTTCTGACGTAGTTAATTTTATAAAGGAGCATTAGTTGCATCGCTCAAAATTAGATCAAGAACTACAACAAGAAAAACTGACGCAAGAATAGACAAAAGTATATTGATAATTATGAAACCTGGCAATGGTGATGTGCTATTCACAGATTCAGAGAAAGTACTTACAGAGTCCAATCTCAAAGGCTTGAATCGCTCGTACTCATTTTCAATCAATTCGTCTCCGGTTGCAACACACAGGCTACGCAACAAAGGGACGGCACTTGGATCACCACAGACGTGAATCTCATCCGCCTGAAGTCCTAGAAATGCTCGTGTCCATGCCCAACCTCTGTACTCATCGCTCATCATCTGAACTCACGAAATATAAGGATTAAAGACCCTTATCTGCACAGTTAATCCATAAACAACATACGTACAGCCATGTAACTACAAGTACTGAAAATGTTACTTTCAGCATAAATAAATAAGATTTTAGGGTGGTTTCACCGTGTAAAGTGTAAAACTGTATCAAATAAGCTGTAAGAAGTCGCTTTCAGTACCTGAACTTCATCAATTACCGCAACTTCCCACTGCTTGCTCAGGTAAGCCATCTCTACAGTGCATGCTAGATGATTTGCAAAAGGCAAAACCTTCTTCTCTTGTCCCGTGTGAAGATTGCAGTAGATGCCTTCAGCGTTGACCTTATCAAACACCTGTCAAAATGCTTTAAAATGTAAACCCTACTTAATGTTCCAGCACGATTTTTTTTGAAAAGACAAACTAAAGATTGCCAATACCCCAGTGCATTGTGTCACTAGCTGCCTCGTATAAAATATGCTTGGAAAACTGACCTCCATAGCAAGAAGGCGTAGTGGACTGCAGTAAATTCCATTAGACGCCTCCATGAACCGCTTGAGAGCCATATATGTCTTCCCGCTGTTAGTAGGACCCTGATGATAAATAATCTTCCGCTTAATTGCCCGGGCAAAAGGGTACCTGCAAACCCATCCACCTTGCTAAAACCGCATGCTAAACATAAACCGCATTAACCGCATGCTACTAGTTTGTGTCCTTAAACCCTCATCTTTTCAAGGAGTATAAGGTAAGCACAATCAACAATATCGAAAAGATAGCTACGGAGCACGATAGTCAAACGCATGTTTGTTGAGGTCCATACCAAGCATCCGGCTTGGTGAGATCAGCTGTACTAACGAGCTCTCGATATCGATTAATTTCAGCAGAAAACTCTGAAATACAGAACTCTGCAAAAATTGGGAAGAGAAATTTGAGAGCAGCGTTGGAGGGGCCCATTTGTATCAGAAGTCCTCTCAGCTCCGGCGTCGCTCGGCTAGAAAAGAATTTCCGAAAGCGCGAGACTGCTGTTGGAAAAAACTTCGAGTTTATATACAATGCCAATGCTTGGTCCGACACCCACCTGCTCTCAAGGAAACAGACACGAGCGTAACGTAAGTGAATAAAAGTGCTGAAGAAAGCGTAACACTCGTTAATAAATGTCGATGTGCCAAAACCGTAAAACCCTACTGAATAGTGTTCAGCTAGAGCTGTGAAGATCAGCACAAGAAAAGTTCGTTCTCCTTGTCGTATCGTACTGTTAACGACCCACCTCCCATCAATTGTAATGCAAGCCCGAGAGCGACTGACAAACTAACCCTGATTCAGCAAATCGATGAAAAATCCAACTGAGTCGAGCTTTCTCTGCGCTAGTGTAGGCCCCCGGTCTAGCCTGCAGCAGCATCTGGAACACTTTGTGCGGATCACTGTACTGAGGAGGGACCTCGACCTTTAATTCCCTTTCATTGCTCTTCTCTTCCCCGTCCAGCTCCACTCTGCTGCTGCGCTGCTTTGAAGTAAGATCCAGCTTAGGGAATCTAGGTGCTGTGCGCGGAGGACCGTCCCTCGATTCCTGACTCGTTCCATTCTGCGGAGCTCCCTTCAAAGCGGGCAAAAGGCTACTCAACTCTTCTCTCTCTAAATGACTCGCAGCAATTTCCGATGAACTCGAACTACGCGCAAACGAGTCTCCATCTTCCACAATGGACGACAAAATTGCATTGGAGCTTTTCTCACCTGTGTCCAAATTCAACTCACTAGAAACACGATTTTTAATCTCTTCCTGACTATCAAAACTACCGAACCCTTCGCCAAATTGAGGCACTACACCAGTGTCAAAATTAGAAACATCAGAGCTAGAAACGGCAGCATTCACTGAATCCTTGACAGCCACGGACTCCGCCGCTGCCGATCTTTTCTTCGTCACTCTGGACTTCACAACCGGACTCCCAGATCCACTAGCAGCCTCATTGGCTGCAATTTCCGCCTCAAGCTTCTTCATCGTCGCTCTCGGCTTCCTCCTAGGTTTCGCACCGCCATCCTCGCCTAATTTCCGCGGCCGCCCAACTCTCTTCGGCTTCTCGACATTCCCTTCCGCTAAAGCAACATCCGCCTCTCCTCCTCCTCCACTCTTCCCCGCCTCAGCGACGCCCCCTCCTCCTCCCGCCTCCCCGATCCCGCTACTAAACCCGCGCCTCCACAACACATCCACCGCACTCCAACCCTTGCCCGTGAGATCCTCCGCCTCCCTGGCGATGGTGGAGAGGCATCGCTCCGCCATGGCGCCCGCTTCCTCCACGCGCCTCTTGTCGCTATGAGCCGCGAGCTGCGAGGCATGTTTCGCGAGAAGAGACGGTAATCTCTTCTCCGCCTCTCGGCGAGCCAACGCCCGCAGCAACAACATCGCCATGGCCATTGAGAAATTGAATGAGACAAGGAGGGGGAAAGTGTCAATCAATTAATCAATAATCCCGCACCGCTGCGGCACCGCCGTGGTGTGTGTCTCTATGTGAAGAAGAGAAGCCATCCATCGGCGACGGAGCCGAGCTCTAGGGCGTCGCAAATGCACAAAGCTCCATCACCACGGTCATGGACCTCCTCCCTCCATCCCTTCCCCGCCTCGGCCTTGGGTCTCGACCTGCTGGGGCCATGCCCACTTCGCTCTCGCCCCTATCCCCGTTTCGGCTTTGGGTCCCGACTTAAGGGACCCCATGCCCACTTCCCCCCTATACCCGCAACCCCAAACGTCATTTGGGGGGGTCGTTATGTGTGTGAGCGTACATGGAATAATTAAATATTTTAACAATTATTAATTTAATAATATTTAATAATAGTTTCTCACATACTTCACCGCATATAAATAAATCAATATATATTATTTTTTTATTTTACATATTATTCTTGGCCCCAATAATTTATAGGAACGTTGTGTATGATGATTTTATAACATGATGTATAGTTTTTTTTTTACAGAGTTTGTGTTTTTGAGATGGCGATTTTGAATAAGGTGATTTTTATAATGGAAGGCAATTTTGTAATTTCAACAAGGAGAAATTTTGTTGAAATTGTAGTGGTAAACTATTTTCCTAAATTGGGACATGGTTAGTGCAATATTGCATTTGTCATAATCTCCGCAAATATGTCAAGATATGTTTGGTGTGAAAGGAGGTTTGATATTTCTAACCATGTTTCTATTTACTTGAAATTTGACCATCTATTGGTAATTGACAGTTCATAAAAACGAGTTTCTGATTGTTGAAATAATGCTTTCTCTTTTTTAATGCACATCAATATTAGATCACAATCTTGAACAAAAACAAAAAAAACAAAAACAAAACAATGGATAGATTTATTAAAATTAAAAGCAAATATTTTTAACAATGTCCTATTAATAGAATTTGATGGTGCTTGAAAACGGGTTTTTAATATCTAAAACCCACTTTACTACAACAACAAAATATATATGTCCTAAAAAAGTTGGATTATATCTTTTTTAAATTACATGGTTTGAATCAAATCATAGATTATAGTAATATTTTATGATGTTCCTAGAAATGTACATATTAGAGTAATTCTAAGCATATAAAGTCCCATATTTGTGCAAATTATTTTCTTGTGTTTATGTTAATACTTTTAGAAAATGAAATAATGAGTTGCAAGCGAATTCCAGACTTTGCATACATAAAATTATTTTAGTTGAAAAAATTTCAAGTAAAGAAAGATTCTGCAGTATATATATATATATATATATATATATATAATTAAAATAATATATGACTATGGTTTATGTTACTTTATTTTATTTTTGTTATTTTAGAAATTCCTTTATATCTTATCTACAATACTCTTCCAAGAGGTTCTTCTGCAGATGAGTACAAAATTCAAATACACATACAAACAACATCTGATTCAAAATTGGAATTATTTTGTACTTTTTAAATTTTAAACAAAAGATGTAATTGATGCCTCTGATCAATTGCAAGGATGATACAAATTATTTGACATGCAAGCATATGCTTTGTAAAATACAAAACAAAACACATTAAATTATAACTTATTATATTGAATTCATAGGTGACATGAAATATTACTGGCAGTATTTTGCTATTGTTTTTAATAGAAATAGTATAAATCATTCTATACAATTTGTTCATCTTTGATTTGAAACATAAAATAAATCAAAACTGCATGATTAAAATAATTCTATTCAGTGTGATTGGCATGCAAAAAAATAAAAAATAAAAATAAAAAATCATTAAAGCATCGCTTCTATATTTTTATAGAAATGCATAGTTAAGTTTAAAGTATAAACATCACTGTTATTTGACATTGTTGAATAATAAAATTGACTTGTTGTTGTTGAAAAACTTCTTAGGATAATTAAAACGCATTAACCTCAATGTCAAAAGCCATTTTTCAGCAACACATGTAAAAGATGGTTTCAAATGTATTTCTAAAGAAGATTATTTATTTTAACACAGGAATCATCATATTCATAATTTTTGAAGTTTCTATAACACTTCAAAAGAACATAGAAAATAAACCATGATTTGCAATTATTCTCATGACTTGTATTTAACAGTGAATACAAAATATGGTGCGGCTTGAATTTTTATTTAATTACAAAAATCTCAGCAAACATTAGAAGTATTTTGTTTTCTTTTTTATTTTATTTTAAACATCTATTGTAGTAAGACAATATTTTTAAAATTTCTTTTTTGTGAGCAATAATTTTTGCTCAGGATTGTTGATTGTATTTAAAATAAAAACAACAAACAAGTAATCTAAATCATTAGCAAAAAACTAATTTTCTGGAGATATATGCTTTAACATGATATCTATTATAAAATAAAATTTCACAGTTATTGCATTTTGATGGGGTGTGTGTGTGTGTGTATATATATATATATATATATAGTTAACTTGTTCAGAACAATAAATCAAAGTTGACATCTATATGTAGCAGTTGTTGTGAAATTTTGCACTTGATAAAGCTAGGTATTTTAGTAATGCATCATAGTTATGTAATCTGTAATTTTGCCTTGAACTCAACATCACCTATTAAGAATCTCTTCAGCAGTACAATCAAACGCTTCAAAAAACATTTTTTTGTGCAAATATTTGACGTTATCCTCACAATAAACTGCACATTTTAACTATTCTCAAATACAGTCATGCTGTTTAATCAGAGTCATATATATACACATAAATATATATAATTAAAAAAAAATACTACAAACATATCCGTTCTTTCATGCTTTCATTCATTAAAGTTTTTGTTTCTACACACACAAAATCAGTCATGATTTACCGACTACTTGTCTCCTTGACTGAATTCTTGGACGATGAACCCTCATTCCAAAACCCATCACCGTTGTCGGTCGAAACTACTGCTGTCTGTAGTAGAGATTGCTAACATATAGGAGCAATTTATCCAAGAAAAAAAAAACAAAACAAAACAAAACACTTCGGGACATGCAACATAAAAGACCAAATACAAGCGAAACTCAGGACACGCAGGCACTGCACGGTCAAAGGAGCTTAGTGGCGGTGGCGGTGGCGGTGGCGGTCATGGGTCCCGACGGCTCTTTCCAGGAACCTGCATTGATTGACACGTAGGATCACGTGATGGCGGCAGTCAATGACCCCTAATTGTCACGTGCAGCTCCGACTTGGGTCCAAATTTTCAACTTATATTATTACAAGTGAATATAGAAACATGAGTTTACGCTTTTTGAAGAGTAAAACAATGCAAGGTTCAAGAGTATTTGAAGTGTTGTAAGAAATCAAAAATTTTAAAATTTTTTAATAAATTTTATTTAAAAATATTTACGACACTTTTAACATTAAAGAGTGATTATATATATATATATATATATATATATATAGATAGATATGTATATACTTGAAGATTTAATCCATTCAAAGTTTTACTACAACCATCATAGCACAAATTTTCAAGCTTTGAAAGAGTGTATTATTAGTAATCCATTTAATATATTTTCAGCCATGTAATTTTAGTGGTAGAAGTGTCATTGGGTTTTTTTTAACCATTGCAATGGATTTGTATACCGTATGGTAAATTTTAGTATATTTGTAATAATTTGTAACAAATTGCATGTATGTAGGATTACTGAATATTCCTAATGTAACATATATATATTTACTTTGATCATTATAAATGTAGAAAAAATTCAAGCTATTAACATTAACTTTTTATTTTTTATTTTATTGCAATGGTATTTTGGATGCTACATTATTTCTAAACAAGATTATATTAGATCACATATGCAATTACAGGAAGGGTGAGGTAAGAAAATTACAAGAGACAAATACTAGAGGCCGAGTATCAAAATAAATATAAAAATAAAGCTAACGTGTGCACAAAAAGAAAAGAAAAAAAGAAAAAGAAAAAGAAAAGTATTTGCAAAGCTTTACTTGATTTCATTAAAATTGTTTACAAAAATACATGGAAAAATCAAAGTATTTGAGTTTTTTATAATTAACAATTAGAATATATAAAGATGCATTTTGGTGCAATTTGCTATGACTTGATATTATCATTCGGTAAGTTTTGAAGCAAACGTTTGTTTTTTCCTATTTGCATACAAACATTCATTTCAATTATTATGTGGTTTTATTGAAAATTTAGTGTATATATATATATATATTGAGAGAGAGAGAGAGAGAGAAATATAATTGCAATTGTAATGATTGAAGTATTTACATGCAAATCTACTTTATTTCTAGTTTAAAGGCAACTAAAAGGTTATTAAAGAATAGTTTAAATATCAATTTATATCTTTATAACATTGTTAACATTCCATTTCAGAAGTTACAAATTAAATTAAGAGTAGTGTATATGTAAGAATTTCATTTATCCTTTTAATGAAATTAAGGATTAATAGAGTTTTAATTCAAGTAAGTTTCTTATCACTTACATTTGTGTCTAAGATAATTTTGTTGTGCATAAGATGCATTTTAATTTTTAGGTGCTAATATCATAACACATCTGATATCTAATGCAAGTAATATTAAATAGATGGATAATTTTTTCTAATGATGTTTTCATTGATTTTTTTAAACACTAAAATAAAAACTTCCAACAATTATTTAAACTAAGATACTCAATTTATTTTAGAACTTTAAAATCTTCTTAAATATAACTTCATAGTTTTTTCGTAGAAATTAAGTAATTTTTTTTGAACCGAACTTAATATTTGATTTACAAAAACAATAATTTTCATTTTTCTTCCTTTTGAGGAATATATGATATTTAAATTTCAAATTGAATACTGATTAAATATTTTATTTTTAATTTTATGTACTATTTTATTTTATTTTATTTTTATTTAATCTCTTGGAACACTAACATATTAACATTTATAATAGATTTTTTTTGATCAAGAAAAGTTTGATTGCAAAATTTGAACAAACATACTTCACAGAAATATTTAGAATGATTTTGTTCAAACATGTTTTTACATGCTTTTTAATTGTTTATAGATTTAAAGTTTATCTTGTATTTATACAACTTGGTTATTACTATATACATACTTTCTAAAATTCCAAGCATTATAATATCTGATTATAATTTCAATTCAGTTACTCCTCTAACATTGAATTTTACTTTTGTGTGTGTTCAAATATCAAAAACTTTGAAAAAATACATTGTAAAATTATTTCAATATGGTGTTCACTAAAAAAACATTAAGATTTCCGAAGTCTATGACCCAACACAAGCAGAATGTGTTGCGAAAACTATTTAATTAACCAACCAAGTAAATTAAAAATTCTGAATGTTACCAGATTTGAGTTACTGTGGCAAGACCAAAACCCACGATTAGTGACTCCGGTCACCGCGGCCAACGGGCTCACGCTTCACGGTATTACAAGACGAAACCAGCCTCGCGGAATGAGTTCAAAAAGCCCAACTCGCAAGGTAATCGGTTTTGACGGAAACGGAACCCTCAGCACGGGTATACAGCAACACGGCAATGCACCTGATACCCTCTTCATCCACAACATTGAACAAGATGTGTAGGATTGTATCAGACCGAGTATAAAGAGCGGGTATGAGGGGCAGGTATACTGGTTCGAGCGAGTTCTGTGGCACGGGTATAGCAGAAGCAGGGGTCGTCTTCTCCGACGTCGCTGTTGTGCGGCAAAGCAAAGCAAAGCCAAGCCAAGGGAAAGCAAATGAAAGCAAAGCAACACTCGCAGTGAAGCTGGTATCCATAACCACCATAGCCATTTTAAAGTTAGTCTCTCTCTCTCTCTCTCTCTCTCTCTCTCTCTCTCTCTATTACTTGCACTGCGTTGCCAGAAGCCAGGAGTCGGATTGATTGATTGATTGATTGATTGATTGATTACTTTGTATTGTGTCAAGAACCTCGAACTGGTTTTTTGAATTCACTCGCACGGGGATCGTTGCGGGAAGAGGTTTTTGAAGGGAGAGGCGCCGGTGGAAGTAAGTAAAGGTTGGTGGAGTTGGTTCTTCTTCCTCTTCGTGTGTCGTCGCAAGCGGGTAGAGTGAAAACACAAAAATAAGAACTGAAAACGAAAGAGGAAAGCCAGGGGAGGTAGGAGGAGAGAAGCTCAGCGAGTGGGAGTGGATGACGGCGTGCTTGGGAAGCTTTGTGTGAAGGAGCAGCAATGTGCTGAGGGTCGCAAGGAAGAGGGGCGGGTGGTGCGAGGGTTTGGAAGTGGTGGTGGTGGTGAAGAAGAAACGACTCTGGGTGTAGGGCGGGGGAGTCAGGTTTTGTTGTTTATTGTCGTTACTGTTGTTGTTTTTGTTGTTGTGGTTTTGGTGTTGGTGAATGAGGACGGGGCTCTCGCTGTGGACAGTAGAGGTGAAACACGAGGTGGAGGTTTTTGGGGCACCAGAAGGGAGTAGAAATGGCAAGGGTTGGCGGGCTGGATGCTTGGTTGACTGGACTGCCGGCTGGATGGCTTATGGGTGCTTGCTTGTGGTGACTCATGCGTTTGGCTTGCAGCTCATCAGAGGTTTTAGGGTTGGTGGCACAGCATGGCGGGCATAGGAGGGCTTGTGGGAGGAAGTGCTCTCGATGATGAATTGTGAGTGTTGTGGTCCGAGTGACTTCATTTTCATGGGCTCCTGTGGACGAGTGCCTCCTCGTTACTCCTGTTGTTTGTTAGCAACTTCTTCCTTATTGCCACTACCCTTTTTCTCTCCCCTCCTCTTTTGTCCTTCTTTCTTCTTCTCGTAATTTTTTTTTTTTTTTTTTTTTTTTTTTTTTTAAATTTTAATTGTTGTTTTTTGTTTTTTGTTTTTCGGTTTTCTTGTTTTTCCATTTTTCTTGACTCGTAAGAAAAGAAGAGAATAATGAGAAGAACAGCCTCTTGGCAAGGCCTTCGACAACATTCGGTTATCCTGAACCAGCTTCTTACCATCGTAGTTCTGGGCTTGGAGCATTAGTCTTGTGTCATGGCAAAGTTGTGTGCACACTTGGGTGATTTTGTCAATTGACTTTCACTTTCTCCTCTTGTCTCCGGTTGGGCTCACAGGAAGCGGAGCAATGTTGTCCGTCTGCGGGGACTTCCTTTTAGCGCCACTGAGTCGGACATTGCTGATTTTTTTAAAGGGTTGGAGATGGGGCCAGATGGGGTAGTTATTTGTGTTAACTTTCAAGGTGCGTTTTAGTTACCATAGTTCCGATTGGAACCAATATTTATTTCCAGCTTTTATGACCTGTTCACAATGTATGTTTCATTACTTGATCCGACTGCTCATGCGCGCAGGTAGGTCTACCGGGCAAGCATATGTGCAGTTTGCGTCTGCAGAGCTTGCGAACAAGGCTCTCGAACGGAATCGGTATGCACACTTGTGGCGTCTCCTCTCATGCAAGATCAGTGGAATTCCTATATCATGTGTTGGATCATCGTTTTTCATTTTGAGATGCGTGCTTATTGATTGTTTCATACTTTCTTGGAATCGCAGGCAACATATTGGCAGTCGGTACATCGAAGTCTTCAAAGGCCATCCAGCAGACATGCAGGTGTGTTCTGTCTGGATTTGCCGATTCGTTTTGGATCTTCTTTGCTTTACTTTTTAATTGAATGATGTCAACTATTAGTGGATTTCATAGAGACGGGAATCCGTTTGCAGGGAGCATTGCGTATGGTGGGCCGAGGAAGTGGGGTTGTGTCAGGGAGTGGTGCTGTTGCTAGCGGAGGCATTCTCAACACGGGCATTCCCGGTATGTCTGGGAATCCAGATATGCGCTACACTGGAGTGGTACGTATGCGTGGCATGCCTTACAGGTTAGTAGTGTTAAACATTCCACGAATAATTACTGTCGTTTATCAATGTTGACTTTTTGTTTTGATCTTGATAAGAACTTGAGAGTTGACGTGTGATCTATATCGTTTTTGTGAGCAGCTGTACATCTGCAGACATCACAGCTTTCTTCAAAGGGATGCAGGTTGTAGCCGATGGCATCTTCCTTTGCACTCATGCCGATGGGCGCCCAACAGGAGAGGTAAGTTCTTGTTCATTTAAGTGTGACGTTGGTTGTTGTTTGCGAATCTCACCTGTTTGATGCATGCATTGGTAATATTTCCAGTGGATTTATTAGTTCCTTTGGATCTGTGGTATGGCAGGCATTTGTTGAGTTTGTCAATGAAGAAACGGCTGCACGAGCGATGCAACTGCACAGAGAACCCATGGGATCGGTTAGTTCCTCACTTTTTTTTGTTTTGTTATTTGTTATTATTATTTTTTTTTTTATTGTTTTTGCATGGTTGTATAATTTGAACTGAAATTTAAATGATACATTGTTCAATGTTTTATATCGTCATGTTTTATCCTCGGCGAAATGGAAACTTTCATGTTTTGGCATTAAAGCCTGACGAGCATTGGGTTGGGTTGGGCAGCGTTACGTAGAACTCTTTCGCAGTACGAAAGGAGAAATGATGACAGCTGTGCAGCAGCGAATGTATGGCATGTTTTCTGGTGCTGGAGGATTTTCTCAGTTTGGTGTTGGCCAGGTGAGAGAGATAAGCCAATTTGGATCTAGTGTATTTCGTTGACAGTGTATCTTCCATAAGTAGAATTTGGAGGTCATGATATTTTGGAGGAAGTCCGGCTCTCATTACTCGAGGCTGCCTTAAGTTTACTTGAAATGGGTATGTGATTTCAGATTCCGGGAATGATGGGAGCTTTTGGAGTTCAGGGTTTGACGGGAATGAATCTAGCCGCTGTGCAAGCCGCCGGTTTGGGAAGTATGACCGTCCCTCAAGGTCTATCTGATACATCCGAGCATGTGTGTATCAAAATGCGAGGGCTTCCTTATAACGCTGGTCAGAGGGAGATAATGGATTTCTTTGAGGGATATAGCTTTTTGCCAAACGGAATACATATTGTTATGGGAGCTACAGATCGTCCCACTGGTGAGGCATTCGTGGAGTTCATGTCTTCTGATGAAGCTCAACGCGCAATGGAGCGTCACCGACAAAATATTGGTTCACGTTATATAGAGTTGTTTAGAGCAACTAAAAGGTAATGTCTGGAATGCTCTTTTGAGCCTTATGACAGTTGATATAGGAAGTTTGTGACTTCAGGGAGTGCGTTTCATCTTTAAACAATCTTTGTAATTACATTTCTCATACCGAAGTCCTGTGCAATTGTTTAGGATGGAGTATCACTACTTTGTGACTGCACTGAGATTTCTAACACCTTGATATCTGAATTGGCTCAACCAAACCTAGATGACGAATGACGGTGAATTGCCCAGTGTAAATATTTTAAGAATTTGAAACGAACTTGAAGGAATTAAAGAAGATGGGCCTCATTCATAGCCATTAGGTCTGATAGTATTGTTTTTGGTTGCAGTGAAATGTTGCTTGCGACAGGGGGATTATCAAGTTTCGGTATGGGACAACCTATGGATCCAAGTGTTCAATTACTGCTTTTACAGCAACAGGTATGCTGCCTCAGGGTCTGACAACATGGCCATGGGTTATTGTTAAGACATGTTGCTACATGTACTCACTGTTTTTCATGACCCCTAATTGCACAGCAGCTTGGTTACCAATCTGTGCAGGCAGCCGCTGGGGCTTTTGGGATGACGGGGCTGATGGGTGCTCAAGCGTCAACAGGCAGCTGGGTGGATATGCAGAATGCTGCGGCAGCTGCTGCCAGCTTTTATCAGCGCCAAGCTGCTGGCCTGACTGGTTCTCCTGCATCTGTTTCATCGTTTGAGCCATCCTCATCAGCCAAGATTCGGGGACTCCCATACAGAACGTCGGTACGAATCAGTCACGTTCGCATCTAATTCTTAAGCCTTTAAATAAGTGACGTTTTGATTTATGTGACTAGGTCTAATATCATTTCGTGTGTAATGTTTTTGGATGCAGACATAGTATGCCTGGAGCAAGTCGGTGATGTGCAACTGAGAATATTTCAGAGTGAGGCAAAATGATTCAACAGGAAGTGTTCTTAGAGCACATGGAGAGTATCGTCGTTTAGATCATCTTTGCGAAGGTGCCGAAATCATACGGGTCGTTTCTTAGTGACCGATGCATGAAGGCATTAGTCCCATCGCATAGTGAATGCTTTGCGATTTTTTTTGGTTGTGTAGGTTCAGGCTAAGGTAGGACTTTTCAAACAGTGCGACAATCCCTGGTATTGATAGAGGTGCTGAATGTAAGGTATAATTATGTGGTTATTGCTTATCAGTGCAATGTTTCCACGGTCGACCAGTTCATCAATAGTCGTTTTAGCCGCTGCATTTGCAGATCATTATCGCTATTAGAGTTTACTGCTACCTTGGGATGCCAAGCTTTTGTAGCCAAAGTTTTATCTGGTCGGAGCTTAGAGCTTCTGGGATTTGATAGTCACGAAGTTTGAACTGTTCATGTGTAAATTCACTTGAACTTATTTGAGATCCTCAATTCATCTTTTTAGGATACTACCGGACAAATTATTATCATTGACGTTTCTGGATGAACAGAGTCTGCATTTTTACTTGTGATATCTTGTGCACTTGAACGGCGGATATGTGTGCAGGATTGATCTTCCATGTTTGGAGGATTTTTTTACTTCAAGTGGATTATGCTCCTACTGTTATCTGGCAGTTTATTTATTTTGATTTTCTGATTTTTTTGAATGTCATAACTTTTTCTTTTTTGGATCTTTTAACCCGATTGTTTGTGAGCGGTGAAGAAGACTTTGCACCAGTAATTGCTTAAGGAATTCCCAGAGCAGTCGCCTTTACCAGATTGCACAGTCGCCTAATTGCACAGATTCTTAATGAGAGCTTTCGTGTCGAGTGATTCCCACGGAATCACAACCTTGGACCTCTGCGTTTCGGTATCCCATCCTTCGGTCAGTACTTATCCCTTATTTTGATTCTGTGTTTTCTTGGCTCACAGAGCAGCTAACAGAAGTTCATATCAGCGGAAGCCCTGGATTTGACACACGTTCTCGACTCCAACTCCAGTGCCATTCATCGAACCCGAATTTCTGAACTGCTGTTGAAAATGGGGTCAACCTATCGTCATTGGTTGACACAACCTGCATTCGGTGTGAGATAGTCATCTTCTCAACCTATCCAATAGCAACCTTCAAAACAAAAGCTCAAAGCTGGTAAAGGCGACTGCTCTGGGAATTCCATGCACCGAGAGTGATACGTTAACCTTGTTGACGACCAGATTCAACAGCAGCAGTGTCGTTCACCAGTTCAGGCAAACTGTACATAAAAGCAAACTGTAAGAATCAACATCAAGTTGTAAGAATGTACTTAATTGGCAGAGAGCCCAATAGTAGACACTACAGCCCCACATGTGAGCCTTTAAGACAAATCAGTTTCAGGAGAATGCAAGGCGAACCATTGACATCATCTTAACAGAAACACATTTTTTTTTTTTTTTTTTTTCTCTAAACGTAGTAATCAATGAGTTTGATGTTATTGATCAGGATATGAAAGAATAGGGGAATGTTTTCTTACTGAAACTAGGATAATTGCAAGGGAAAAAGTTCAGGTGTAATGGTGCGTGTGAGTTTCTGTGGTGAAATTTGATTGTGTTAATTGATCTTTGAGGATAGTGAAGGTGGTTAGATCTTCAGAGAAGTTTGAATGGACAATTGAAAATGGACTGTGTGAGTAGTTTTCACCCATTGCACTTGTCAGCTTTGTGGATTTATAACATGTTTTTTTCAAGAGAAAACTTCAGTGACGATGTCATTTGTTTTATGATGATATGCAGTGTTTGAAAGTTGTGAAATTACCCTTGATTTTTATAATATATAATTTTTTGTGTGAAGTGTATGAAAAAAAAATGAAACCAATTTTATTGTGTAACTAAGAACATTTCATCTATAGTAATGCTGATATAGATAATGTGTCAATACTTCTGTTTTAGACAATGTGTAATAGTGCTATTTTTTTGCAATGCTAATTTGAGGTCTTTATGTTTAGGAGAGAAGGCAAAAAGCTACAACTTTTAAAGCTTGTGATTGATTCATATTAAATTATTTATTATTAATGATTTTTCTATAATTAAAAAAGAAATTGATAAAAATGTTAGGTAGAATATTAGAGAGAAAAATATTAGATAGAATGCATTCTTTTTCTACATGACATAAATAATGTCATTACTTGACATTTACATCAAATTTTGTAAAAAAGGCAGTTGTTTAAACAAAATTTTACAAACCCTCTACCATCTTCCTCCCAACATTATATATATAAATATATATATATATATATATATACACACACACACACACATATACATATTTGCACATTAATACAATAAATAATTTAAAAATGATATATATATATATATATATATATATATATTTCTTTTCTGTGTATGTGTATATTTTTATATATTTTCTTGATTTCTGGTCAAATGAAGTATAGTATATTAGTGAAGCATAGTATTGGTTTGAAGTTCCAACTAAAATGACCCCCTTCTCTTATTATTATTATTCTTATTGTCAAGGTGTTGGCAATATGGGGTGGCATATTAAATGTACACAGCTCCACCTCAATCAGCCAAAATTAGCATGGAAACTTGTAATAATCAATATTACATAACCACTGAATATACCAGTTTTATTTTATAGTCCTTTGTTTCCTTGAACACAAATTGCACCTGCCTTGCCTGCGTTTTAAAGCCTGAATTATGATTTATAGTTCTTTTTCTGAATAAAATAATATCAAGTGTGATATTTCCATTTTTCACTTAATTATAACACAATTTTTAGTATTCGACATATTTAAGATTAGATTTTGCATAATCATTAAAAAAAATAAAATCCTGGGAATTCTTTTGATAATAAAAATGGAGTAAAAATGGAGATAAAAAAAACTTTTGTGTGATAATTGTTGAAATACAACAATCAATAAAAATAAAATTCTTGAATTCAGATGATGATCAACACATGAAATATACTATTATCAAGTGCAACTGGTCAATAATTCATCTTTTTTCTGAAAAAAAAATATTTTTGTTGAAAAATAATTAAAATTAAATAGAAGGTGTAGAAATGAATTTAACAATGAATTGCCTTGGTGCTTCATTTGAATATAAAGTACAGCTTTGAGTATGCAATCCTCCTATCTTCAAGAAGATTTCACCTCCACGGCCTAATATTGACACAAATATAATGTTACAATTTGCTTAGTAAGATTTTATTTTAATCTATTTAATTGTAATTCAATAAACACTATTGCATTACATTGTGATCAGCTAAATTTATATTAAATATGAAAACAAAATATTGATTATATATGAGATCTAACTAAGCAATGCCAATGTTTTGTAGATTGACTATAATATCAAATTAAGTGAATTTCTAGGTAAACATTCTACTTTTTCCACATGGATACCCCTTGCATACATACTCCCACAAAAAATAACTAGTTTTGATTCTAAATGGTATTTATTAATTTTTTTTATATTTATTAACTTAATACCAAAATTTGATATAATCTTATCTATTTGTATTCTATGGCTTTATATTATTTAAATGTTTAATTTATTTTTTCTCACAAATATTTTTCAAATTAACTTTTTAAATTATAAAATATAAATGATTATGTTTTATTATTGTTATCATTCAATAATGTTAATTTAGAAATTTAATAAATACCATTTAGAATCAAAACTAGTTATTTTTTAGAAAAATGTATAGGAAGGCAAGAAGGGATGGAGTATCTATCTAGTCAAAGGAATGTATCTATCTAATGGTTCCCTAAATTAATACTACTTATAGATGCATACTTTTATATTGTATTATGTAAATATTTAATAATTTTTTAATATCATTAATAATAATAATAATAGTATATTTTTTGTTAAATTTAAATAAATATATGTATGTAGATGATTTTTTTAATGCATTATAACAAAGTTAATAATATTTTTAAATTTAATAATAATTTAAAAATGTATGTATAAATAAACTAGCATAAGGGATTTTACTTTTGCTTTTGGAAGTAACATATAAAAAAAATCATTGAAGTGTAATAAAGATCAATATAATGTTGATAGAGGCATAAATATATCAATAGACAAATAGACACGTGGATGCAAAGATAACAAACAAACATTTCTTTTTTTAATAAAGAAGGTATTAAGAAGTTTTATTCTCATTGACAACAAAGAATAGCAAACATTGGAGGCTGAAACTTCCCATGCACAAAAGAGTGGACAAAAGAAGATCTTATAAGAATATACGATGGATTGGGCAAGCTTTAATGGATATTTCTACCACATTTTGTGGCATAGCTGTTTACATTAACTTTCTATATTCCAAAATAGAAGAAAAGTAAGATTTGAGTATGATACTTCAAATAAGCAATTCTATTGCATGCTATTTGGAGAGAGGAGACATTGTGGACAATAGTTAGAAATAATCTCAAAAAATGTATTTAATGAACATAATTACTCATAATTGAATCTATACTCTAATTGAATTGGGAATATATGTACTTGTAGTTGTGTCAGTAAAACAAAATTACAAATTAAAGTCTAAGTATATAATCTAAAATATAACAATATAGAAGAAATTGTAAACCAAAGAAAAAGAAAAAAACTACATACATGGAATTATACTTCATAACCAAAACTCTCACTATGTAATTTGAAAACTTCATTGGATGAGATAACCTATGTCTAAATCTAAAGATATACACCTTCCCTACATATATACAAATACGCATCTTTTACTTTAATAATTTAGAAGATATATATTTTTTATATTAAATTAATAATTAAAAATATTGTTCCTCAAATGTAGAATGCAAATTAAGGAATTAAAAAAAAAAAAAAAAAAAAAAAAAAAACCATTAGAGCTCATAGAAGAACCCATTTGAACTCATCCTAACACACGTGACGAATGTACCGACACGGGGAGGCGACGAAACAAGGCAACGAAGGTCGCACCAAGCACCCCGAAGTCGGTAGTTTACTTCAAATCCTCTCTAGATCTCGCTCTCCTTTACCACAGATCCTTCGAAGCATGACGAAGAATCGCCTTCGGGAAAGCTAATCGATAGAATCCAGCACCGACCTCAGGCTCCGACTGGTTCATGTACCGCTACGTGAATGTACATCAACGATCAGACGAGATTGGGAGAATCGCCAGCTTTGGTTTCTAGAATCAGAGCTGCAACCCGGTTTTCCGATTCCATTGCCATGCAGGATTCATTGTTCACAGTAATTTTGCATGGCTACGCAAGGAGTAATGTGATTATATGGCCCCTTACCAGTCCCCCCCGTGCTGACAAGTAGAAGTAGGAGAGCCGCCGCTTCGGCATGATTTTCTGCAGCAACTGCTTGCTTCCCTGTGGCTCTAGAAAAACAGCCCAAATACTATTTGATACTGTCCAAGCACCTTTGCCACCAGCTCTGAACAGCCATCGAGGGGGTTCCAGAGAATCTAACCTGGCCTGTTCTGCGGCATCAGTTCTTGTCCAAGACGTTGGAAGGCGGCAGCACGTAGCGGCGGGCCATGAGAATTCTGTGTCGTGAGATTTCAAGGGGATGGAGTATGGTTTTTACAGGAGAAAAAGAGTGGTCGGGTGTGAGAATGAGGGGACATTACTAGTCCGAAGCATGTTGCTAACGCAGGAAGAGCATGGCTGACGATGTGCTCACCAAAATGCCAGAGCTTCGCTTGCAGCATGGGAATCGTCACGTTGATTCAGTCCAAGTCTAGCAGCTGCCATTGAACCTGGCGGAGAACAAGATTCTTGTTCGGTTATATTCCTCTGATTAGACTTATTTCGGCTTCTGACAAATGTCAGCGTCGAGAATCTGGGCATATCCAAAATATGCAATATTGTATATCTCAGTATAGAATAATTTGCGCTCAGTAATCGATAAAGTCGAGGTGGAACACAATTGAAGCATTACTGATGGGTAACTCAAGTAGCAGTTGAGACCAACTACAGGTTTGATTCTGGCTAAACATGATCGAAAAATGCTAGATCTTTTGGTGAGAAGGGAGGGTGCAAGAAAAGGGTAGTGTTGTGATAATACTGACTGCACCCTAACTGTCAGTTGCATTTCTTTAAACTGCCAGGCCATTACGCAGCGATTCACAAAGACTGGAGTTAGTACGCAATCTACACACAGATGAAGCCCTTTTTTCCTTGTTATTTTTATTTTTATTTTTTTCAATCCTGACTGAAAAGACATGGCCATAGATATTACCTTTGCAATTATTCCTGTTGTCGGGGCTCTCAGGAAAGCCGAAGAAAACTCTCAGGAGAATCTGGAAGGAAAAGAATCCATGGCAGAATGTCTTCCAAGTGTCTCTCTTTCAAGTAAATGGCATACAACATTAAATTGATTCAAAAGAAGAGTCGGATAAACGCCACGTGAGCCTAATCTACTGAATCCAATATCCACAACCATGCTTCCAAGAATAGATGAAAAACGACCCACCCGAAACTAACGCTGCTAATATAGTGAAATGCCTCTTCAGGAAAGTTCATGCCGACCTGAAGAAGATGCCCTCTCACTCAGCTAATCAAGTAGTCCTGTGTCCAGTGTTGCGCTTATGTCGACTAAAATCGGATACAAACCGAAAGGTCTGTCCACACCCAGAGACCATGCACTTGTAGGGCCTCTCCCCCGTATGTACACGGATATGCTCCGTTCTAGCCCAAGCCCACTTAAACGCTTGAGTGCAACCTTTCCAAGGGCACTTCAAAGGCCTGTCATCGAGGTGAACTCTTCGATGCTGTAGAAGGTACTTGTGCATGTGAAAGTGTTTCCCACAGCCCTTCCACGTGCAACGATTCCTTCTGTGGAGTTCCAAGTCATTGATAGAGTCGAATGCCATGATACAGCCTTCCACGTCACACTGAAATTCTCCCTCCAGATCAGATTCACATCGTTTGGTTGCTGGGGGTTTTTTATTGCCATTCTTCCGCTTTTTGACAGCTTTTGCGCTTTGCTGTGCACTAAGCTGGTTGGCGCCACCTTCAGCTTCACCTTCATTTCCATTAGATGTGTCGACTCCCCACTCAGATTTCATATCTGGGGTGCACATACGCCGTCTCCTTACATTAGCAGTTGAACCTGCACCCACAGTTGACAGTTGTCAAAGTCAACAATTTCAAGTTTCACTACCAGCTTGCAGCATACAATTCAACGAATTTAAAACATTAAAATTAAATCAAGTCCTGTGGTGATTTTCGTCATTCTCCAATGCAGCTAAATTGAAGTTAGAACTGTAGCACAATAGTGTAGTAGGAGGTCAAGGATTCCAAAGTTAGGTTCTCACATGTCAAGCAGCCCAAGTATGAGAAATAATCTGGATCAGCCTGACCACCGCAATCACATCCCTCCGCGGTCAATTTAGGATCCACCCCGGCGGGATCATTGCTGCCATCCTCACTCGTGGGATTGCCATCCTCACAGGTTGAGGACACAAGGTTGTCTTGTTGTGGCGAGTATGAAGCCGGGGTAATCTGTATACAACTTTTCCAACTCCTACTTTTCGTCCGCTTGGCTCTGACCCTGCGGGGCACTAAAAGTGACACCTCTTTAATAGAAGGCAGCCCTAGATCTCGTTGTATATTTAGCTCACCAGGACCTTGAGGTAAGGACTCTGTACAGTAAGTGGTAATCGAAACTGGGTTGGGACCATGTATGTTTGGTGTCTGCAGAAATATTTTGTCAGGAGGGTAACGACTTAACTCCTGCGGCGATCCCTCAACTCCGTAATCTAGGCATCGTTGCAAAATGCTTTTAATCGGATTTGAATTGGTTGAATTCTCTAAAAATCTATTATTGCAATCTTGAACAGGCTGTAGATCACTGTCATACTGTTCTTCCATTAATTCTTCTTCTGATTTATGCTTCCGCTCGTCATCCCCTGCACTAGTCTCAGAATAATTATTAATCATATCAATCCTCAAACCTCTATCACCTCCATTTGTCGCACCATGGTCTACCGAGAGATCCTCTTTAACTTCCTTACCGCTTACGGACATAACATGCTTCTTCGAGATTAAAAGATTGCCGGCAAATCCTTCTCCATTGTCATGGTGACCTGAACTGTTTTCTCTTCTCAGAGCTGGAAGCATGCTGTTGTGCTTATTCATTACCTCAGACTTCTGCTTTTTCACATCCCAAGAAAGCTCATCCGTTGTGGACTTCCGCTTCAACCGATTGACCAACTTCGCCGTAGATATCCTTTTATGGGGATTGGACTTCGCCTTCATCCAAGAAGCAAATCGACTTGGGGTGGTTAGAGGAGTACATGGAACAGAGATTACTTCATTTGTACTTAATTGATTGCACAGCTTTTGAAGTGCCTGAAGCTTAGCACCTCGTTGGAGAAAGCCTCCAACAACAGCACAGGACTGGCTTGCTACATTTTGCGCTGAAGCATTGTTTAGGCTTGTATTGACTTGACTACAAGCAAGCCGCAACTCTTTTGATGAGCGGAAGTGTGGTGAAAAGAAGAGAAAGTCATCACAACCTCTTTCAGCAGCCATTTCTGCATCTAACAGCACATTTGATGAGCGTAACACATTTAAAAAGAGAACTTGTAACAGTAAACAAGAACAAAAGCACCCACTTGAAACATACGGAAGACGCTCAGGGGTCCAAAAATGATAAGTAAACAACTATCCGGAATCAGATAATAAACTGAAATGGACAATCCGCATACTACTTTCAAAGAAAACTAGAAGAGGTAAAGATTTTGACAAACCAGGTAATTGAAGAGAAAGCAGAAAAGAGTCAGTAGATACTATTGGCACTTCTCGCCAGAGGCTATCTCCACTGCTATCGCGTGGAGTTGCTTGAGGAAATAGACTATCACCAGAACCACCCAATCTTGATGGTGTTGCTTGACTGTTCTGCTCAACAAGCTCGTCCTCTGACATTTCCAAAAGAATTCTCCTCTTATTATAGGACTTTTTAGTACCCGATTCTCCCTTCGGGGCACGACCATCTGTAGTGTACTCCGCTAACCGAGCAGGTCGCATGACTTTACGTGACCTCCCATTCTCACCAAGACTAGAAACTCCACCGGAGACAGGTAAACTTACAGAAGCGGAAGTATTGTCGACTTGCCAAGGGATAGAAAGGCGTCCACCAAGTAAAGGATGAAGCTGGTCGGCCCTCCATCCTTTGCCACACCATTGTCTAACTATAAGTGATTTTTCCTCTTTCCTTCCATGGTGACAAGTTCTGCTTCCTAGTTCTTCACTCACTTCACTGAAGGGGTTTCCATCAGTAACATCAATATCATTAGATAAAAAACTGCTCTGACCATAAGCACTTAGTCCCAACTGGTTCACCCAATCATTATCTCCAGGATTGAAGTGTTCTTCTAAAGCTGCAGCTATGACTTTGTGCTCTTCATATCCTGCTTCTTTAAACTGTACAGTCCTCCACTGATGCTGAGCTCCAATCTCTGCCGCTACAACTTTCGCTTGTTGCTCAACTTTTGAAAAATCTGCGACAATAGAGGTTGATCAGCCCAAGCCAAACTTTTAAATCTCACTTTACATTCAGATTTTGTCAAACTCACATTCACAACAGAACTTCCGCTAAGCGTAACAGCTAAATTGTAAGCGTTCAAAGACACAATGCGGAAGACCTTAGTCGGTAGAAACTTGAGAAGTGTCACATGAAAGAAATAATTCAGGGATGTGAGCAATTTCAAAATAGATAAGTTACGTATAACAACTAACAAATGGTAGGATACCTCTAGAAAGAATATCGTGCTTACTGGAATTACAAACTATGATCACGGAGCCTCCTCCAATCGACTCCAACATCTTCTGTGTAGCAACTGCATGTTCAAGGCAGAGCATCCGGGGCCTTGCAGCACCCATAAGTATCTGTAATTGGCTTGAAGCATTTGACTCTATCTGCGCTGAATGTTCTAATCGACCTATTTCTCCGGTTCCATTGACATTTGAATCCTGAATTGCAAGAGCAATAGCTAGAGAACCATTGTTGTCTAAAGATTCACCTAATTTACTTGAACTATCAGTAGACACAGAACTCGCCTCTTCTAACTGACTATCTGCTTTGACTATGACGTTGCACGGAATCTCAACTGGCTCATTTGGTTCCAAGTCTAATTCAGGAGCAACAAGCGTGCATACTTTAGAATTTCTATGAGAGCTAACCAGAGGGTTAATCTTCTGAGAAGAGTTCTCCAACTCCATAGTATCATTTTCAGTGCTTTTGAGAGCAGCCTCTTCAAAAGAATCAAAGAAACTATCATGAGGCAAAGAACAAGTGACACACTCGCCAAAGGACAGTGGTGACTTATGCTTTGCTTCATCTCTATTCAATGTTTCCTCATGTTCGCTCTTGCGGTTCGACTGAAGATTCGATAATCCAGACAAAGTCTTGGCAGAATCTTCAAATGGACTACAAGATTGTTTGTGGTTTTCTAACTCAACGCCCGATTTTGAATGCTCCTCTGAAAGCTCATCAAAACACGAAGGTGTCTCCTTCACGAATAGGGTCTGGCTACCTGACGGTGAAAGCATAATCACTGACGGTCTTGAAATCGATTTTAAATCCTCTGAAGTTGAAGAAATTGGCTTGATTTCACTATTTCGTGACGGCGAGATCAAGTTCGAAGGACAACCGATCACAGGTGCCGGTCGTAGTAGAGGGTTCTCGGAATATACACCAGATATATCGGCAGTATGAATTTTAGTCTCTGGCAGAGGACTAACCACAACTTTGGCCTCATCGCAATGTTCTATTTGATCGCACTCATCAATATCAGAGTCGTCATCATAAGCAGCAGCCAATAGCTGTAGGGATGATAGCGCCCCCTCTACAGCCGGTTTGGGCACGCTATGTTTTGAACAATACTTAGTGCCTCCAACATGTAAAGCCTGTGCAATAAGGTCGGCTGAAACTCCTGACCCCAGTCCAGATACACTATCACGGTCCTGCTTGTCGACCTCCAAGTTATCTTCAGCGCTACTGTTGAAGGATAACCCAATGTTTCCAACACATGATGCTGCATTAACCGCCTGAGAGGAAACACATTCTTTCCTTTCAAAGTCTGCAGATGCTTGATAACTCTGAGGAGTTTCTTCATCCAGCGCTACGTCATTGCTAGAGTCCTTATATGTTGTGGGACATTCTTTCAAATCAGGAGTCCAAATTTCTGGCTCCTCGGTGTGGTCCTTGTGTTCAGAGTCTACAAAAACATCAGGAATTGTCCCCTCAAGCTCAGGCAAGGGCTGCGCTTCCACGTTCGGAAGCATATGAAAATCAGCTGACTTTTTATCAGCTCTGCCAGGTAACACTCCTGAAGATAAGTTTACAACGCCCTTGATCCTGCGACTCCCTGAACCTACGAGCAAAAACCAGATGTACTACCGGAATGAGAGAGGAAAAATAGAGTAAGAGGAGCATACATATAGCAGAGCGCAGATGATAAAACATATCTACGCATGCTTGAAAAGAACAAGCAACTTAGAGCCTGAATCTTTGATTGAAGTAAGAATCACGAAAATGAAGCAAATAAGAAAACAGGTCCCTGGGAGAAGTACGAAATTAATAGTTCCAGGTCAATATAACAACAAAAAAAAAACTGCATAATCGAAGCAGAGTTATTTCCAAAACTGAACGCTCACCTGATGTATAAGAATATAATCGTGTAATGCTAGTAGCCGCACTTTGCGATAGTTGAACAATGGCTATACCGCTAAAGCACAGGATGCCGCAAGCAGCGCATGGCAACATACTCAAATCACGTGATAGGGCCGAGGTTGTGACATCATCTCCACATACTTGCTCCTTCCCTACTGTACAGTTGTTATCATTTAAAACGGAAGGCTCGGCATTATCTTTATGCTTTACAGAAGAAACCTCACCGACCATCGATGCTAAAGCAGGGCTGGGTAAAACTTGTATGTCAGTAGGTGTTTCCGATACAAGACTCTCCAGAGCATCACCTTTCGAAAAAACTTCCTCTTGCATCTTTTCATGTAATTTGTCGGCCCGAAAAGGATCGATACACTCTGGAATACTAGTACTTGCGTGTGGGGCATGATATTTCGAATCTCTCACCAACAAACAGCTTGTGGCTCCATTGTCGAGTAACTTGCCAATTAGGTCGTTCTGATGAATCACGTCGTTGACAAACTTAGATTTGATGACCTCTTCACCAACACTTTTGTCCTCTTTCACACGGGAGCTAGGCTTCTCAGAAGCTATTTCACAATTAAACCTGCCGATAATTTTGACAAAAAAAACATCAATCAAATATCGAATAAAGAAGAGCAGAACAACTATGTATGACAGCTCTCATCAAAACGCCTGGTGACATTTGTCTAAGATCTTTAGGTGAGGAAATTGCAAGCAATCTCAAGATCCATAGAGTACAAGTACCCAGCGAAAACAGACAGAACTACATTAAAAGCTTGTAGTAGTACTGAAACTAAAAATATAATTGTCGAAAATGAGCAGGACTTATATTAGATCCACACCTGGATGTAAAAGACATTGCCAACGTGTACAAAAGCTGTTGATGAGAGAGCATGGGCAGATAATTCATTGCTGCACGTCGTACTGATGCCTCTCTTGCAACTTCTAGCCAACCCGGAGTTGCAAAATTTGCTGCCTCGCCACAATTAAACCCTGAAACACACATCAAATAAGCTTCCAATTATTTACACAAAAAGATATATATATATATATATATATATATATAAGAGCAGCTACTAAAAAGAAAGGAATGCTTACATAATTATTAAACATGCAAAACAGCTCCAATATTCAGGTTCATAAACCAAATAAAGAAACAGAAAATAGGTAGAAACAAACCGTGGCTAAAGCCTAAATGATACGCACGAGGAAAGGTAACCACGTATTCCCCAGCATTTTGGACAAGCCTGAAAGTCAGCGAGGCATAATTTAAACGGGTGCCTTCAACGCAGCAAAGAACAATCTATTTGAAAATATTGTCATCCACGAAAACAAAGCGACTACAAATTTCTGGTCTCATCATGTTACACTTTGGAAACACCAATCGATAAGAATCTCAAAAGTGATATGAAAACATCCAACGAATCGAATATGTACGACTTGTAACCAACTGATCGAATCAAAACTTATGAGAGATACGAATCAGATGAATAACTCGCACACACACACACCATAACAACATATTCACAAGCTCAACTTAATAATGGTAATCAATACCTGCAGCAAGGCACGCCTGCTGCAACCAGCACCTCTGGAGACATCACTGTAGTCTTCTCGCCCAAACGTGCAAAAGCATCTGCAGGAACGACATACGACCAGTTCCTCAAGTTGTTACCAGAAACTTCCTCTCATAAAATGCCTTCGACTATGACTAAAAAGTTAAATTAGACAAACAATGATATTCAGAATACTCAAATTGCCTTATTACCTCTCTGTAACTTCAAATACCTGCGAGACCTCTCTTTCTACTTGGTGCATCCCATATTGCAACATATCACGGTAGGGCAACAATGCCATATACAGACCAATTTTACAAATAGTGATCAACAAAAGGAGATAACACAGAACTACGGTTTTAAAGCTATGCTTAACAGCCTCATTACTTGAAGAACGAGCAGATGGTAATTACCTCGTGCATTAAGTTGGTTACCGTATCCTTGAATTCGTACCACCTCTTCGAGAGCAGAAGCGGCATCTCCAGGCACAGCATACCAGGTTTTGGGAGCACCAGTATGTAGGTAATTGAGACTGTGTAGCTCGTGGTCCTCCACATGCCATGCGAACCAACTAAAAAGCATGCCTATGTACACCATTGGAGAAGTGACCCCTGTCATAATTAACACCAGCATCCAGTTTTAGTCACCTACTACACTGCTCTCCGCAATTGCTGAAACGTAAAATTGTGCTCTAAGAAACAGTCTTTGCTCCAAATAGCCCAAATAAACCAAACAACTTCTAACAAAATTTGAACACACGTGCACCGGCGTTGCCCAACTTTGTTCTAGCCTCCGATCGTTATCAGAAACATCATATCGTGCGAGCAAGCAGTGCTGGGACGACTATACGCACGTAAGCCTACTTAGACCTCTTACTAAACAAAATGACGAAAGCCGCGATATCCGAAAAAACTCAACAAGCGAATTTCAAAAGAGCCGATCAAGGATTTGGGGGAAAAAGAGGGTGGAAATTACCCACACACACAAAGATAATAACTAATAATAATAATAATAATAATAATAATGATAATAACAAAGAAAAGAAATAAATTTTTAAAATATTATTAAATTTCATGTGTAATTTAATACAGGAAAATTTGTATTATTATAATAAAACACAGAGAGAAAGAAGGGTATAAAAGCACCTGGAACTTCATCGGGAATGAAACGCAGCAAAGAACCGGGAGAGCGGGCCACTTTTCGCATGTTCCATGCACTACTGGAGAGTTTACAACTCATGCCCATAACATTGTCAGCGGTTTCGTTAAGTCCTGAAACTTTCGACACCTCGGCTGCAGCTCCTGAGATTCCTGCATCCTTAACAAAACCAACGTTGTCCTCCTCTTCCCGCTCTGAACTATTAGCCCCAAACGAATCCGTTGGTGTTCCTTCAGCCGAACCACCTCGACGTTTCGAAGGCAAGGTGGTCTCTCTTGGCTCAGCAAATGCCGAACCGGGTATGTCATTCGCGTACTCTATTGTGATTGCCTTCTCAGTAGCTGCTTTCCAAAAGTGTGTTTCAACTGCCAGAGGCTCTTGCGAAGTACCCAACCGGTTGCGCGCAAAAATCTTGGCCTTCGCTTCAAATTGTTCCAGAGTGTATGTCTCCCCACTTTGCCAAACAGATTTGTGTACAGCAGACTGCGGTGCTCCTCCTCTTACTTTCCGCGCATTCCATCCTAATTGCTGCCTTCTTGTAGTGAACTTCGCCCCACATCCTTCCTCAACGGTGGGCACACTTCCACCACCCATATTCCGTGCAGGACACATGCTCCGGCCAACAGTAGGGACTTCTCCTGCTATCGCCACATCTTGAGAATTGGCCAACGACAAATTCAAATTGTGAAACACCACCCGTTTGGGAGCTTTCGAGTATGGCGGCACAATCTTGCAAATGCCATACTGCGAGGCTTCTTGCTCTATCTTGAAAATATAATTTATGGGGTCCAGGAACTCTGCCTCCGTAGGATGATACTCGGGAGCCAGAGCCAGACTTTTCAGCCAAGAAGGCACGTCCACCTCCGCCATGCTTGTATCAAACCCGGACCCCTTTCACTAATACTATTGCTACCTGTTCCTCCTCACTTTGGGCACCCACTCTCTTCTCTTCATCCTCCGCACTGACTTCTGCAAACCCACTTCATGATCCATTGCCTCAGCAATAATTGTCCAAGAAAAAGGACGAGCGAAGCACCAGGAATAGCCGAGTAGAAGCATTGGTTGCTTAATGTATCCTGATTAACAAAACTCGTAATTAAGAACCCTTGTCGAATCATTATAAGAATTGTTCCACTAATAGACCATAAAATCCCGCTCAAACCTTGGCGAGGGTCCTTTGCTCAAAATTCGTTCCTCTATCGCTCATCCCCTCTCCATGTCTCTCTCGCAACCCCTGCTTCCTGCTTCGCACTCTATTCGTCTCAGGACCCTAAAACAGAGGCCCGCCTTGCTCACAACCTTCCATCTTCCAAGTAACCACATAACACCCAACATCTCCTTGCCAATCGTCCCGTGCCCCCACTCCAACAAATGGAAACAAACCAATAGCAATAAAAACTAAGAATAATAATACCAATAATAATAATAATAATAATAATAATCACACCCAAACTCTCCAAGGACCAGACACAACCACTCGAAAGCATGCAAGCATACTTGTCCTCCTCGCCATTAACGTCAGTACCTGACAAAGGCCGTCCAGTGGAAACATACGACGTCTGCCACAAGCTCTCTTGTGATTCCTCCTCTCAACCTCTTTCCACCTCTGCCGGTGCTACTACTGCTCCTCCTGATGTTCCTGCTGCACACCTCCCTCCTCCCTCACTACCAGCACTCCTCGTCCGCCTCGTTTCCGCGTGTATTATTGCCCGCATTCCCCTTACCAAATTCCCCACCATCTCCGATCCACCATCCTGTCAAAAGCAAAAGCCGCAGAATTGGTCACCGGCAATGCCTGCAAAAATCCCCCGCCCAACGCGTCCTCCGGTGCTGCATCAGCAGCGGCAGGATTCGGTTCCCCTGTGCGAGAGGCGAGCGTGGCGGGCCAGCTTGGTTGGTTAGTTTCGCTCGCGTCGCGAGTAAGTGAAAGACCAGTGAAGGTGGAATTAGAAACACGAGATCAGGAAAGAAGTTAGCGATACATAGAAAACAATGAAACATTAACAAAAAAACTAAAAACAAATAACATTGACGCATGGAGGAAGAAATAATAAATAAAATAAAGGGAGGCAAAATACCCCAAAAAAACAAAAGGCAAGGTAGGGAAAGGGAGAGCGGAGAGGATGCAGAATGGCAAGGACGCAGAAGTTGCCCTCCTCTTCCTCCTCCCCCCACCACTCCCCCCCCACCCACCCCACCCCCTACCGTGTACCCTACCACCGTGACCGCTTCAGATTCGACCCCTAATCCCAAACCAGGGTCCATCCATCCATTCCTACAACCATCCAATTAGTCATCCATCTCCGGTATGGACATCCATGCTCGCAGTCTATCCGTTGCTTTCTATTCCTGCTCCTCTCCTTTTTCTTTCTCCCCTGCACTTTCTTTCTCGCATTTTGCCTTTTTCCTTTCTTTCTCTTTCTCGTGCTTCTTTCCATGTTCACTTTTTCTTTGACCGAATTAGAATGTCTTCTTTTTCTTTTTCTCTCTCTGTGTTCTTTCCTGTGGGTTCATGTTAGTGGCCAAAGAAAGCCCAACAGTAGCTCAGTTGTTTGACAATAATCACATATTGAACTATGAATAAATTATGAAAATTCTAATATATGTAGATTCAGTTGTTAAAGATATTCTAATATAACTTCTTATGTTTGCTCTGCAAAGATCATCTACCTGTATTGTAGAGAACTGTATTTACCCAAATGTACCATAATGTCAAATGGTTACTTCATTAAATAAAAACTGAAAATGTATAAAATTATGCTTATTATTATGATCTGATTATTAAATCATTCAAAATTTGAATATGTGAAACTGTGTATGCCCACACATGTATACATTTTTGCTATGTTTTTATTATTCTATACTCCATGTTATCAATATCATAATTAAATATATATAAAAATCATTCACTAGAAAATTATTGCTTCCAATAGTGTAACCAAACTCATAATGTAGTCTTTGCATTTTCCTGAAGTACTTTTCCCACCAGATAATTGTTGGGAATAATATGAATTTGTACAACTAACAGTAGATGCAATTGTTGAACTCATGTTTAAAGCAAATTTAGAACGAACTGTGTTGAAGTAGCTCTCCAAGTTTTTTACCAAATTTTATTTTTTTCAAAAATGGAATAATCGATTAACCAGGATATTTGATAAATTTTGTTGGATCAGTGTTGTTTTATTGAAATTCATTAATTGGTTTAATAACCAAAACAAAAGTCCCTTGAAATTGCTAATGCATTAAGAAGAACCTCAATTTTCAAAACAATATTCTCAATGTTTGAATTTAGTCCTAAAAAGATAAAAATAATTAAGCACTTGAAATGAACAAAATTTAGTATCGATTTAAAAAAAAAAAATTCATAATCTTGGTTAATGCAAGAGATGAAATGGTAACTAATATAAGTGATTTTGATAATTTCTTTGAGAATAATACTTAAACTCGATTTGCATATATATATATATATATACTTATATATATCTAAATTTAATCCATTTCAATTATTTAAAACTAGTCATACTCTTAATACCATTAACAATAAATTCGTTAAAGAACTCAAACATAAAAAAAATTGTGTTTTAAGTTTAGAACAGATTTTATTGTAAACCTTAGAATCAAAATCATTAAATGAAGTATAAAATTTAGAAGACAAATGTTTTATTAGTCTTTTTTTTAATACTTTAAATGTGTTATGATTGCACCTATTATACACATCACTGTTACAGATACAGATTGTTTAATTGAAGCTCATAATGCACTAAATTTCTTTATTGTGGGTATTTGTGATGCAATTTTATGCTAATAAATTCATTACATATATATATATATATATATATATATATATATATGCGATTTTAGGTTTGATTTGTATCGCTCAAAATCAACTGAAAGGGTAGAAATACGATATATATATATATATATATATATTCTCAAATATTCAAATTGTATGTAAGTAACAATGTGTAACAACATTTACGCATATACACTCACTTTTCCCTCCTTTTATTGACGGCCCATGTACTGTCACATTTAGTCACTTCTATTACTTTTAACTATACTAACACAAATGTTTGTACACAACTTATGCAACCCTGAAATAAAACTTTATCTTCACGTAGTTCTTAAAAACTGAAGAGTTTCATTTCACAAACCTCAAAACATCGTCGCATTGTTTACGACTGCGAGCATTTCTTCCTGCGAGATGATACGTATTTCATTTTCGTTGTGTTAAGTCGACGAGCATCCGCCATTGCCAGTCCCAACGCTGCAATAGCAACACTGCGTCGTCTCCACAACCTCAGCTCCGCGCACAGTTTGCTACCAAGCTCTAGAATGGGACGATTGCTATCCAGCGATCGCGTATCTCATTTACCACACGCGACATCGTTGGCGATTCCTCAATTTCTTTCACAGCAGTAGCATTAGCTAGGGTTGTTCGTTTTGCTCTTTCTTTTGCCATGGCCGTGGATTTGTAGTTGCTACTTCTCTCTCTCTCTCTCTCTCTTTTTTTTTTTTTTTTTTTTTTTTTTTCTGTTCTTGTGTTGCCATGGACGTCGACTTCGAATGCCGCAACTACAGGTTGCGCATGGGTTTGCCCGAACTCTCTCAGCCTTTCTTTGGCTCTTGGCTTTCTCCCGATTCGGCTTCGTCTGATTTTACTTCAGCATCAGTTTCGCCTTCCTTCCCCTTCGATCTCGATTCCGCTCCTTCGTGCTACTCTTATTCACTCCCGCTATTGCCTGTACCCGCGGATTCCAACACCAATGAGTCGCACACTGCCATCGAAACCGATACTCTGTGTCATAGGTCTGCATTCTAACCTTCTGAGCTAAGTACCTTGTTACATGGTTTCTTTCCTTGTCAGAAGCAAATTGTGATTCCCATTGCACTGTGCGGGTTCAGTTTTCCTAAAAGATATATCCAGTGTTTCAAGGGGTCATTAGACGAGCCGTTCAGCTCATCGTTGTTTCAACGAAAGTCCAAGTGCCAGTATGGCGCGAGATTGTTGTTTTGGGAATTTAAGTTCTGAAGTCATGAAATTTACGGTTGCTTGCTGTTCGAAGTTTGGTGCAAGAGTACGCCTCAGAGCATATCGTACACTCTATAATCCTTTGTTGTTCTTCTACTCAAATTACAGTGCGTGTGTAGAAACCAAATCGAGACTCAAAATAGCGGCAATTCCCACAATCATGAAGATCGAGGTCAGGAATTTGAATGTCGGAGTGAGAATTCAGAAATCGATATTTCGAACCTTTGGCTCCAGGCGGGGAGTTTTAGCGAAGGTCGGCCAAGGCAATCGGATTGGGAAGTCACTCACTTGCGTGAGGAAAGGCTTGGAACCAAGACTTCTCTTGCAATTGCCGGAAAGATCGAATGTGGAAGTGAGACCAGGGAAAACACAGATGTTATTTTTAATCCTTCCAACGTTGAAAAAGAGGAATCGTCATCCGCACATTATAACTTCGATTCAATCCAGGTATGTACGGACCAATACATTGAGTGATTCTCTACTGCACATCACACCCATTTGCATTCGTGAATGTTTGTAACAATTGTCAAGTACGTAACGTCGTGAGTGTAATGAGTCTTTGCATATGTCTGAAATATCGCGTACGCGGTAATGCAAGAGGCTCAAGATAACTTTTGTGCTCAGGTGCTGAACATCGTCCTTGTAATCGATGGTTGTGGATATATGAATAAACCATAGGTTCAACAAGACCTCGTTAATCACAAATTAAGATGTCATTGAGTACGCTCTGCTTGTCTATGATGCATCCTGAGAGGTGCATGATAAGGATGAGGACTTTCTTCAATCCTATGCAGGCTATCTTCATGACTCTACCTCTCTGCAACATTTGTGTGCCTCTGGTTTTTGCAGGAGTCGGACTTGGTGAGAGCTGCCCTTCGTGCCTTGCAAGGGGTTCCTACTGCGGTGAGCTGGCTAGAGCAACTTGCTGCGGCTTTCTCCTCGACAGCAGCAGACAGAAGCTCGGAGAGATTCACATCACTTTGGACACGGTCATCAAGCTCGTGTTCACTCAGCAAAGTTCTAACAGAATTTGCTAAGGCTGGACGTGTTGCTTGCCAGCTAGATTTTTTCACCAGCTTTTTTTTGAATCAGCAGGCGGATCAACACATGTGAGTTCTATTGTTTGTTGTACAATTAATTTCCATTTCTCTAGTGGCTTAATCTTCTTCGGAAGCTCAGCTGTCGAATTTTGTTATCCTTCATCCGTTGGCAGCTGTTCGGCTGTTGTTTAGAGGGGCAACTTAACTTAACATCTCTTTACATGTTTGACTTTTCACTAACTATGGTTGAGCTTGGAGACGTACAGTCTTATGGTGCTTATGGTTTCTTTGCTTCCTGACCGACACAGGGATGGGAGAAATGGAACGCAGAATCCACTTGCCGGGGATTCCAGCAGGAAAAAACGTAAGCGTCAAAATTTTATGACAGAGAGAAATAGTGATTCACTTTTGAACACTCCATCAGAAATATGGGAGGATGTAGGAGGGCCGAATGTTTCATCTCACTGTCATACCAATCAAGCTTTCGCGGCAGCTGTGAAAACTTTTATGCAAGGCCATTTAGCTTCGCTTGATATGATAGGAGCATCTGTCAAGAATCGGCGATGGAATGCATCGGGTGGGTCGAGTGTACATATGTCAAAGGCTGGGAATGGAGAAGCAGGGCTTGTCTTCGGTTTTGGTTGTGGTGATGTTACTCTGTTGGAGTTATTCCTTCACTCACACAAGCAACGAGAGCAGTTGCAGGCAAGCTTCGAGTTCCTGGCATTGTGTTCTAAAGACTTACTCTATCACTCTCCTACTCTTTGTCTTAAGGAGCATTTTCTATGGATTGGCACGCTTAGAGTTTACTTCACTCTTTTTATTCTCCCTTTTGCGCATCCAATTTTACGTTCATCTCTTTTACTTTGCAGGCTCTTGCAGCATTGTGCAGGATTAATGAAGGAGCCTCTTTAGATAGGTCTTCTGAAAACATTTGGAACGAAACTAGGGTTGTGAATGACTTGGCGTTTGAGATGGAAACTCATTTATTTAGTGCCTCCAGAAATGCTTTCAAAGAATTTCCACGCGGAGCAGAATTGCTGAGTTACCTTTTCAACAAGCTTTTGGTAATACTTATGGCACTCAAATTCATTCTGTGCAACACGAGTATGGGCAAACTATTTATCGTCAATTCTTTCGGAAGGATAAATCTATACAGCACAAGAAAGAAATACTTATTTGTGGTGTTTGTTCTGTTAACTCTTTCAGGTTGCTGACACACTCCACTTGGAGCTTACGCGGTTTTTGTTCGAGCGGGCATGTCAGCCTTACATAGTGTTTATACGTTCCTGGCTGTACCTTGCTTCTGTGCAAGACCCTTTTGGTGAATTTTTTGTAAAGGCGCTCCCTTCAACAGCTTTAAAGAAGACTTTAGGGAAATCATTTGAACAGGATGCTCTGTTATCATATCAGGTCAGATTTCATTATCTCTGCTATATTTCTAATATTTCTTGTTTTGACCTTGTTGATTATGCATTAATTGATGGTGGCTTATCCTCATTTCAGTGATTCTTGTTATTTTGACCACGCTTGAAAACCACGTAAGTAATATTTTGTATTTTTCGTACGTTTGGAAATCGAATCTAAGAAACAAATATGGCATGTGCTTTTCGTGAAACCTTAAGGCAGGGAATCGTTTCACTTTGCGTCGATTTTGTGCATTTTAAGAAGTTTTAACCTCGTGCTGCAATCCTACTCTTAGGTATTAGTCTGTCGTGTTCTCTTTGCAAATTGACATACTTTCATTTTTGTTATTCATCCAGCATCTGCCCGACGTTGCTGGTCAGTGTGGGTCGAGCCAGTACTGAACAGTATGTTTAGGGGAATAATTCTTTCATGTGCAGCAGGTTTCTAAAGGAGTGAAAGTACCATGTTTTTTGGAAGAAGTCTGCACACCCTTGCTACGAGCTGGGCAACAACTCCAAGTTTTATCCAAGCTTCTTGATATCCCGTCTGCCTCAAAGATAGTTGATTCCCCATTTGAATCATCAGGCAGGCTTCAAGACACTTCGTTAGCCTCCTCGAGTTGGGCTGATACCCGAATTGATAAGGGTACTATTGACCGCCTGATGCCTATTTCCAGCAAAAAGGGAAGACAGGGTAATGCTCAACAGCCGAAGAGGTCCAGTAAAATTTTTGAAGGGTTTTACGATGCTTCTCTTGTTGGAGTGGTTGAATTTCGTCCACCTCAGCAAGAAACAGAAAGCTTCCGAGAAGCAGTAAGTGCCATTTTTCTTCTGAGATAGTCTATACGTTGTTCCACATCGGTTGCAGAGCGCAAATGCTAGTGGCAATGTTTTCAAAAACACCTTGGAAGAATGTGATCGATTGTCACGAGGGATTGATTTGTAGCATTGTTTTTGGAACTGTGCATCGTTGTTGATATTCTAACCGTTTAAGTTGTCACGCACACTTGAAATTTGCTTTTGTTCAGAGATCATCAAGTCGATTCTGGCTTACCGCTGCAGAAGATAGGTCTGAACAAAAGCCCTGGACTACGAAGAAAAAGCAAGAGGTCAATGTCGACATCTATCAGGGGTGTATGTGAGTGCTACCTACACATATAAAAACCGATTGCATGGCTTGATGCCAAAAGTTCGACATTCAATCATAGTTCCATTGTTATGATTACTTGCTACCACATTGCAGTAATCACTTTGACCGAATGCTTCAATTTTTCTTTCAACTCTTCTCTAATCTTCTCTGCACATTTGTTTTTCTGCACTTGTTTTTCACAGGGCAAGGGCTGCTTTGTGGAGAGCAGAAACTGTAGATGAGATTCCAGGCGGTTCTTCATCAAGTCCAGAAAGCACACAGTCTCTTATGCTGACACCTAGTTTATTGACAGATGTAAATAAGCAGGCTCATGTGGGCCAGTTCTTGAAATCCAGACCACTAAATCAAGTTTGTTTGAAGCCTGAACATGATGCCTCGTACATTTCGGAATTTCAAAGGGGCACAAGCTGGCCTGTTCTAGGCCTTCCCAAAAACCCTTTCCGTTGTTGCAGAGATGAAGGAGATAACTCTTTAAGCTACGTTTATACTATTTTTCCTGATAACAATGGCTGTTGGGATGTGAACGTACACTGGAGGGATCCTTACTCTGTCGCCAGGGTACAGGCAGAACAAGAGTGTCATTCATCAGAATCGCAGTTTGTATCAGACGACCAGAAAGTTGACGGCGATCACCCTTTTTGGTTGAAAAATTTGGAAGATTATTTGAGCACACAGCTTACGCAGGGGTTAGACGAGCAGATTTTTCAGGCAGATTATGACAGTCTAGGGTATCAGCTTGAGAAAGAGGATGATCACCAAAGTGCCTATAGTTTTGATTTTCAGCCAGGCGGTTGCAGTGTGAGTATGCAGAGACCTAATATACCGCAACGAAATATAGGGAGGCGTCTGCAACCGAATTCTTGTAAGTTGTAGACTTCTTTACCTTACGGTTACTTCAAGAAAGTGCAATCGAACAGAAAAATGGTGTTGATTGACATTCTGAATACCTTCTGCATTTCTAGTTATTAGTTCTTTTTGCAGTAGTGTTCTGTCTACTTGAATAAGTGTAGGTATCTTCTCATGTGAGGAGAGTAAAAGTTCGAAGATAGCGTGAGTAGTTTATGCCAGATGTTTGGCATAATCCGCTTATATCGTGGATGCACTTGAAAAGCTGTACTTGCATGCTAGTTGCTCATTACGAAGGACACTCTCTGTGTTGAATCAACAGTTCAGCTCTTATCTTCTGCTGAAGGCGATGTTTTCGGGAATCATATATATTTTTCGAAAATTGGTCTTTTGGAGGCCGAAGATGGAGAGAGCTTGGTGACTCTGAAAGTGGATGCACTGAATCCTACGCCTGTATTGGGCTCCGAGGTGTCAGGCCTTGATGGAGTAAAACCATCGTCGAAGGAACGACCTCCCGAAGGTGCGCAAATCATTCCAGGTGCGAGTCATGCAGGACCTGGATCCAAGTGGGAATCCTATCTTCAATCCGAATACCAGCAAGTTATGGGTATGGGAGTTTTTTCCCACGCTCCTTCATTCGAAGAGGATGAAGATGATGCCGAGGAGATTCCTCTCTCTGTTGCAGTCAAGCTCTGGATAGAGGAAGAGATTTTGAACCAGTATCCCTTACAATAATGATGTCTGTCAGCGCTTTAGTTTCTTTTTTGTTCTTTTTACAGCTATATACTTTGAAATGTTCTTGTTATTTTATAGTCGGTGTATTTTTGCACAACTATTCAGCTTCTTTGTTTCGTGCACGTGACATTTTGGTGACTTAACAAGCCTTTAGATACAAGCGCACAAGTACGTTGACAATACGACTCCTCCAGGAGAGCTTGCATCTTCAAGATCACTTCAGCGCTCTTCGGCGATATCATTTTATGGAGAGAGGCGATTGGGCCGAGTATTTCTTAGGTGCACTTTGTAAATATGTGAGTTTCGTATTTTTATCCCCTTTCCTTTTGACGTTACTTAATTAGTAAGAAACATTTCGAGGTTAGGCTATTTCAATATCCTTTAAATTTCTTGATGTTGTTTATTCTCTCCGAACTTGAAATGATTTCATTGTACCAAATTTGCAGTATACCCTAGCGTATCTTAATCCTTCTATGTGGTAAATTAACAACCTACGTAGTATCGTATAATCCTCTAATAGGGATAACTATAGAATGGAAGTTAGTGCAATCATTTTTTCTGACGTTTGTTATTGGTCTTTCCAATATATATATTGTCTGTGTTGAATTGTTTTACTTTTGAACTTGTGAATTTCTAAAATTTTAAGATCTGTGTTGGTGCTTAAATCTCCTCTATTTTGTTTGAATTCTGGGTGAAGAAATGTTGATCTTTGTGAACGATGGATTTTGTTATTGTAATTCTTGCTATTTCTATCCTGAAATGTTTTGTATTTTTTTTTGAAGTATTTTTTTAAGACGACGTCACATGAGCCTAGGCAAATATCAAGTTTAAGCAGTAAAATCGAAGTTGAAGCTTTAGATAGTTTTTGGAATTATTTAAGTTGCTTCAATTACATCTTGTCTGGCCTGTAAAAGCTGACAATTGATTGCAACTGTTTGGCCTTCAATTTTGGTGCAATTTCTGAATGAAGCTGGTGTAACCATGCAATGTATTCAGGAATGGAATCGTATAGGTGGTGAACCACAGTTACTGGAGGTACAAAGTATGTTGCGAACTGCTTTGCAGAATTCATCATGTGATGGAGATGAGTTTGCAGATAGACTCTTTATTGTGCAGAGCGGGTTTGATGTCTACAATCAGGGCTTGCGGAATCCGTTTTTAGCATTCTCCAAGCACCATCATACTCTTGGCACATTTGTGGATTGTAACAGTAAGTTTCATTGTCGCAGTTTTGTCAAGTTTCTGTTGTTCGTGAATTGCTATTCGGCCACACCATGAAAATTTAACGCGGTTTTTGTACAATTTAACGGTAGTGATTATAAATGAAACAAACGACCGTCTCACTTACACGTATTGCATATCTTTACAGAAATTGAAGCATTCGACTTCATAAAAGTGGGGTACAAGGTAGAATGGCCACTATGTTTAATCATCACGCCAAGTGCTGTAAGTCGATACAGTTCGATCTTCACATTTCTGTTGCGCATGAAATTCACAATTTCTGCTCTAGCTGACGTGTGGCGCAACCTTCAGGTAGTGCATTTCCTTCGCTGCAGTTCCTTTGCTGCAATGATCAATTTCCCTGAAATTTTAGTCCATTTACCATTCGCATCTTGATTCTGGCTCTTTACCTTAACGTTGAGGTCATTGGAAACTTCTACTGCTTCTATGCTTCGTTTTTTGACCTGAAATATTTCTTTGATTAAGCTTGCACTATTTCGAATCGTGCACACGAAAAACTTTAGCATGGGTTAAATGAATATATTATGCAAAGTTGTTTGTGGATTTCTATTCCTTGTAGCAGTGTCTTGTTTGTTAGTGATTTATCGTACATAGAGCCTCACTTGCAAGTAATATATGTATCAAGAGGAGTTGGTATGAAGCAAAATTTCGTACTCGTGTTAGTTTACAAGAAATTTCAATCATCCTGCCGTTTACTTCTCAGTTTACTATACAGCATTTCAGAAAAGCCCACAGGGTCAACTTGACAGCTTTACACAGCATGAGTGTTGAAAGTATTTGACTGAATGGTCTGCTTCCACAGGTAATAGGTAGCTCCCTCAACAAGGCCAGACGGTCCTCAGATTATCAAGCACAAAATAAGAAGTTTCGAGCTCTCCAACTTTTTAGGTGAATCTTTATTCTTGTCTGCAAGGGTGTCTCCTGTTTCTTTTTCCTTTTTTTGTTTATTAAAAAAACATATATATTGTTTAAGTTTTTTATTTTTTTATTTTTGGAATTTTTTTTGGAAGTCTCCAACTCTTCTGTGCGCTTTTGGGAGCTTTAGCTTGGAGGACTTCGCTCAATAGTAAGATCTTGCTGTAAATCTAGATTTGGTGGGTCTTTTTGGCAGGCAACAGATCGGACATGTTGTGACTACTTTACAACGCTTCACAGAGTCTCAAATCCTTCATTCTATTTGGAGCAAATTTCTTTACTCTGTTGAAAATGAGGTAGATTTTGGAATGAGAACTATATTTACATTGAGTTTGCACTGCATTTTCTGTTGTTATCCTTGATACGATTAGTACAATAATGCTAAGAAGATATTAATTTTCTGCTTGATCAACTAGGTTAATGATATTCAGGACTTGGAGAAGGTGCACTCAGTTTACCTAAATGATGCCTATCATCAGTAAGTGAACTCTGTTGTTTTTCAGTCTTTAGTCCCTTCGCAGTATTTGTGTTATATTCCTATTTCATCATGCTAATAGTCATGCCGGGACATCAAAAGGTCTTTTCAGTCTGATTTTCACGATAATTTGGAACAGGTGCTTTTTATCGAAGGATATGGAAGACGCGAAAACTTGCATTGACGTTATCATGCAATGCACTTTGGATTTTCGCAATACTTTGATTTCAGCCAATCTCGACCGCAGCGGAGACTCTGTGCCAGTTAACGATGATGTATTTCACAAGGTATGTTTGTGTATGATGGTTTTTGTTGACCACGGGTGCCATCAGCTTTCGAGATCACTACCTATTTTGATTAATTAGTTTTTACTACAATCTTCTCTAGTATTTCGTATTATCATGTGGCTTAATATACACTAATCAACCGTAACAACATACTTTTTCCATGCCTTTTTTTCATGGTGATTAGTGAGTTACCCTTCTTGACGGGACTATTCTCTCACAAAGTGAAAGATTTCATGTCTACAGGTGCTTGAAGTTAAATCTGTATTCGAAGTGCATGTACGAAAACTGTATTCTTATCGACGAAGGTCTGAGCCACAGTACAGTATATTGTTGTCGGATTTTTGGATGTGTCTTAATTACAATGGCTGTTTCAATCCATCTGAGCTGGCAAGACGGTGAAGTAGAGTTGACGTTTTCGAATTTTACAATGCTCAAGTAAGCTTCAATCGCATCAAAGTGGCAGAGTATCTTATATGTGATTTAATCATGTATTCCACTTTGAATGCTCCCTTCAGGACTCGTAATAGCAATTTCCTTGTTGGGTCCGGGGTTTATGGCAACAAGCAGCCATCAGCAAAACAATATTCATGTTTTAATTGTTATGATAGTTATGAAACAGACCTGGCAGTAGCTAATCTTGTGTGTGGGAGCTTATTTATCATGACACTCAAAAGGAATTTCTAGGATGCGCTCGCGCAGAGGTTTCAGCAAATGTGTAATCAATGTCTCAATTCTGCTTGGGATGTAGTATTCTCTAACCTTGAGAACTCGTTGAACGGAACTGTGCGATGCATGCAGTAGGGGCAGGGAGTAAATGATGTTGCTTGTCTACAGTGAGTTATCTTGTGTGACGTAGTTCAAATGCTTTACGTGCTTTTTAAATTTAGAGGGAGAGTTTGAGGATGCAAGAATAGCGGCGAGTTTGTGAAGACTCAATGAACAAAACGGCGCATAAGCCTTTGCCTTGGCAGATTTTTTAATGAACAAGCGTAAATGGAAACAATTCTTGACATCTTGCACAATCCAAGTATCATTGTGAAGCGCAGGAATCTCAAAAGATGCTGCAGTCGTTGTAAAGGTGCATAGAAGTCAATCCTACTTTGTGCCCTGTTTGGTTTCCTGTTTGGCTTCCTGTTTGGCGTGTGATTGTCTTGTACCTGAAGTTGAGTAGTTGGCTGGATTGTATTATACTTAATTCTGAAATTTTATGTGTACAAATGAATATATATAATATGTTGCATATGTTGTGCACAAATGAATAAAACACATACTATGTAATATGTGTACTATTTACATACATTTGATTATCTACATTTCTCACCTATGTTATCAGTTCTATAAAATTTCTTATTGAATTTGGTGGCAATTTTTATTTTTATTTTTTTTTAATTTTAAAATAGCTTTTGAACTTATAGATTGAGTGCCATATTTGTTTTTGGCTATCTTTTGTGTTTATTGTGAATTGTTTTGCTAATTCTCTGAAAATGTTAACAGTACGTCTCTTTTACTATTATCATTACATTCTCTTCTTAATCATCATGTCACATTGCGAGTTCATATTTTTAGATCAAAATATTACTAAAAATGGCCGTATATTGCAAATCATTTAAAACCTTGTACATGAATGATAATCATTTTGTCACTCTATCACATTTGTAAAACAACAATTTGTAACCTCATCATTATTATTAATATGTATATAGTGCAAGTACTTGTCAAGGACATGAATTTCAAAAAAAGGAAATCCTCAATACACTCTTCTATCGTTGAAGAGAACTAGAAAGTCACTCAAAAGGTAATGTAATATTAACTAGAATGGCTATTGCCAAAAACAAGAAGATTAAAAAGTCTTGAAAGAAGACCAAGACTAGAAAGGCATTGACAAGAGTGAAGAAGGCTTCACTCTTGCCTCCATATATACTATCTAACTAAGAATCATGTGGCGATGTCCTATAAGACCTCCAACATGTGTTGACTTTGCTAGCCACATGTCTTATCTTACAAGGCAAGTTATCTATGTATGCGCCACACAGTTGGCTTGTTCCACAAGCTACTACACGGAAGTAACTTGTTCCACAAGCTACCAATACATAGTTAGCTTTTTGGCCAAGTTTCTAACCTACAAACACATTTAAAGTCAAAACCGCATCTACGAAGCTTCTAGGAAGCTTCACTAGAAGACTTTATGAAATTATTTTATTTTACCTACTTTTGCTTAATCATTTAAGTAACTATTGAGGTAAATATATATGTCCCTGACATTACCTCTCCTTCTAGGAACAAGTTCCACGAGGAGCAATCTTCATATGTTGAGGAAGTCCAAGATGAGGCGAATTATATTTGTTACATACTCCGATCTTTGCTCTCTTCGAAGATGGTTGATAGGTTCTCTCAACCATTTATAGTGTTCCATACGAGGGCAAGAAGACCACCCTGTTATGTGGTCATTGTTGAGGCCTTCATAACTTCTTTCAAATAAAACATTTGGAACACCATTAGGATTTGTTCCTACGTCTAATAAAATCACTAAACATCAAAATTCTCTTCTAAGGTCTTGATACCAAACACGTTGTATCTCGCCATCTATTTGAGGAAAGGCATGTCGTTCTTGAGGATCTTCATCTCGATTCTGTCGTCTTTAAGGTTGTGACAATCACAATGTCTCATCTGGTAAGTCTGCAAATGAAAGCTCTTGAATTGAATTTGTTGGTTGTTGGTGTTCCATCTCATCACAAATACACAGAAGGTACAATGCAAGATAGAAGATAGAATGTTATTTTCCTTTGATCTTGTTTCTTTTATAGCAAAGATTTGCTATTCTTTATCTTCATTTTGATGGATGTTGTTGATGAAAGACTTTAACTTTCTTAGCTGCATTTGTAAGATTCTTTGATGGCTCCCATGTGCGTTCACTAATATCATATCCACGCCAATGAACAAGATATTTTAACCTATTTTGGCACCACCTTGAATCTAAGACTTCTTCCACCTCAAACTCTTGGTTATTATCGACTTCTATAGGAGGAGGTGGCATTTGTCTTCTTTCTAAGATATTCACTATCTTATATGGCTCCAAAAGAGACACAAGAAATACAAGGTGGATCTTCATAGACTCCGGTAGATGTAATCGATAGGCAACAGAATTGATTTGTTTACAAATAGGAAAAGGTCCGAGCCTACTATGATCTAATTTATCATGAGGATGAGTAGTCTTGATATTATGACAAAGTAACCATACCTTGTCACCCATATTATATTGTGGTTGCTCCTTGCGATAATCATCCATGTTGGTCTTTTGTCGTTCTTGAGCTTCCTTTAATTGTATCTTCATTGTTGTATGTAGCTTTGGCAAATGATTTGTAAAATCTTTCGCTGCAAGATTATCAACTTTTGAAAAGTCAAAAGTATCAAGTCGTAAATGATAACCATAATTGGCAAAAAAAGGTGTTTGTTGAGTGGAAGAATGTATCGAATTATTATATACAAACTCTGTCAATGGTAAAAGAATTATCCAATCATCTCAATGATAGTTGATGGTACATTTCAAATACTGCTCTAAAACTTGATTTATCTTATCTGTTTATCCATCAACTTGAAGATGAAAAGCTGAAAAAAGCTTTATATCCATCTTTAGAATCTTGAATAGGGTTCTCCAAAATCTTGATACAAATTGAGTCCCCCTATCCGATATAATATCCTTTGGCAATCCATGATAGCAATAGATATTGTTAATGAAAAGCTTAGCTGTTTCTTCACATGTGATAAATTTTGTACATAGTACAAAATATGCCATCTTGGTAAAACGATCTACTATCACAAATATAGACTCATAAGAACCTGAGATTGGAAGATTCGTGATGGAATCCATAGAAACAAAAGACCATGGTTGTTCTGGAATAAGTAATGGCTGAAGAAGTTTGTAAGGTTGATGATGAGGAGTTTTTGATCTTGAGCAAACATCACAAGATTGTACAAAATCTTTGACTGCCTTCCACATTTGCAACCACCAAAAACCCCTGGATATTAGTTCCAAAGTTTTATTTTATCCAAAGTGTCATCCTACTGGAAAGTCATGACGAGCTTGAAGAAGACGTAATCTCGCTTCACCTTCTCGAACATATAGGTGTCCTTCAAAATATAATAGATTATTCTTGAATTCAAACTTGAAAGTATCATAGGACTTAGAGGAAGTATCCTTGATATCTCCAACAAGAGGATCAGAAGACATGCTTGATTGAATTTGCTTCACAAATATTGAATCAACAATCAATGTTGATTTTATAGCTCAAAGATGAAAATACTCGGGCTTCAAGAGAATTGATCTTTGTTGTTCAAAAGATGCATCTCCTTCTTTTGGTGCAAGATAAGAACGTCTAGAAAGATCATCCGATAGACCTTATTGTTTTTCGAGTCCATAAGTGAACATGAAATTGAATCTAGATAAAGACATGCTTCAATGGACTTGATGACAATTCAAGACACATGCTGACATGAAGTACTTGAGGTTCTTATGGTCTGTATACATGGTAATTGGACTTGAAGTGCCTTCTAGATAATGACGCCATTCTTAAAATGAATCCACGATTGCAAAGAGCTCTTTGTCATGGATCTCATAATTAATCTCGACAGCTAAAAATTTCCTCAAATGAAAAGCTATTAGGTAGAGTTTGTCATTCGTTCCCATTTGTGACAATACGGCATGTATAGAAAAATCTAATGTGTCTCTTTCCATAAAAAATGCCTTGGAGAAGTCAACGCAATATAAGATTGGTGTAGAAATAAACTCCTTCTTTAAAGCATCAAATGATGCTTTTGCTTCTTTATTCTACTCAAGTTTGTCTTTACAAGTGTAAGTGGAGTTGCAACTTGAGAAAAATTCTTGATGAAGATTCAATAGTAATTAGCAAAGCCCAAAAAACATTGCTTATCTCGTACTATTCTTGAAATCTTCTAATCTATGATAGTTTGAACCTTCTTGAGATCCATCATAAGGCCTTTGTTAGAAATGATGTACCCTAAAAAGTCAACTTGAGTAGTGTGGAATACACACTTTTCCAACTTGGCATATAATCTTGCTTCTCTAAGTTTCTATAACACGCGACGAACATGAAGCTCATGTTCTTCTCTATTCTTAGAGTAGATTAGAATACTGTCTAAATAGCAAACAACAAAATCATCTAAAAACTCACAAAAAATATCATTCATAAGATATTGAAAAGCGGCCGGTGCATTCGTGAGTCCAAAAGGCATGACATTATATTCAAAATATCCATACCTAATTCGAAAAGTAGTCTTCCATTGATCTCCTTCTTTGATACGAACTAAGTTGTATGCTCCTCGTAGATCTATTTTGGTATAGATCTTTGCTTGATTGAGTTGGTCAAGAAGTCCTGAAATCAAAGGCAAAGGATAATTATTTTTGATGATGATCTTCTTGAGTCCTCGATAATCCACACACATTCGTAGAGATCCGTCTTTCTTCTTCACAAATAAGATAGGAGCCCCGATTGGAGATTTAGAATGGCGTATGAAGTTCTTTGCCAAATTCTCATCAATTTACTTTTTTAATGCAACCAACTCATTCTGCGATAAGCTATAGATTGGTCCGAATGGTGGTTGAGCTCCTTCTTGTAGATCAATTGAACAATCATAAGGTGGATGCTCGGAAAGAATATCTACATTCTTCTTTTCAAAAACATCTTAAAATTCTTGATATTGCTTAGGAATACCACTCGACGTTGTTTCATCATTAGAAATGGGTGTAGCATATATAGCAAAAGATGATCCTTCTTTTGCAGCATACATGAAAGCTTTTGCACCTACTAGTAAAGGTTTGGACGTACTAGACTTATGTACTTCTACTTTACTAACACAATCTTAGATTATACTATCATAAAAGTTAAGGTTATGAGAAATCTAATCTATTTGAGGGTTATATTTTTCTAGCCATGATAATCTTAAAATAATCAGATTAGAGGGAGATTTTATTACATTAAATAGTACTACGCTGTTATGATCTTTAATTGCTATATCTAAAAGAATAGTTTGATGGATAACATTTCCAAAAGACAACAAATGACCATCTATGACTTCTACTTGTACGGATTTAACTTTCTTCACTAAAGGTATTTTTTGTTTTTTGGCAAAATCTTCCTCTATAAAACATGCTGAGGCTCTTGAATCTAATAAGGCAAAGACTTTTTGATTATTAAGTCCTAAATATACTTCTATTATAAAATAAGGTGAGGGGTGTGAAGAGAGGATAGGACCTTTATTAGGTGTTGCACATGATTCTAGCCACACGGTGTCTATTGTAGCGAGAGAAACTCGTTTTTCGACACGTTATCTTCTTTGGTAATTGTGTTGCTTCTTTAGACAATATTGAGCAGTGTGCTTAGCTTCTCCACAATATAAACACAACCTCTCTTTGCGACGTCGAGTCTTTTCTTGCTTCATGAAAGGTTTAAAATGTGTCATATCAATTTGCATTGGTTCCGGCTTTGACAAAAATATTTCAAAAAACTTGGGAGCTACTACCATTACTTGACTTGTCCTCTCCAACCAAATCTCTGTTCTTGATGCCTTTCAAATAAATGATTGTCGCATGCAATGGCTTGAGTAATAAATTGTTTCAAAGATTCTACTTTCGACATTGTTAATAACAAATCTTTGGCGCTATCCTTCAACTCATATCAAAATTAGTTGATAAATGCTTTGTTATTCTAATCCATGTCGCAAGCAAGGTTTTGGAATTTGGCTGCATATACAGTGGTTGATCGTGATGCTTACCGTAAGGATAAAATCTTGGTCTTTGCTACTTGTTCTTGATTACTTTTTCCGAATGTGGCCGTAAACACTTCTAGGAATGAATTTGAATTATAAAAGAGTCGTGAATCTTTTTCTATTAAAGGTACAAACTAAAAAAGAATACTTCCTAATAGTAGTGCGCCTATAAATCCGACTAGGATAAATCCATCAAAATATTGGAAAGGGTGTAACCTTAGATAGAGCTTGACTTGTTGTAAAAATCCTCGAAATTTTGATCTTGTTCCATCAAACTTCTCATGCATACTAATTCTTGTCCCTGTCATACTTGTAGAAGCAAAATTCTCTGGATTTGGTTGTGATGTTGATCTACTTGCTTCTTTCAAGTGCACAACTTCTTACCGCAGACTCTGAATTTCTTTTCTAGGTGTAGGCATAGTACTTCTATGATTCACGTTGGAAATAAGTGAGTTTTTTATTCTTAGAGTATTGACAAGCTCATGAATGTCTGCCATAGTTGCAAATCTATTCTCACTTCCATTGAGAGTAGCATCCATAATCTTTCCTTCCATAGACAACTCAAACAAATTCAAAAGTTAAATTAGAGGAGGATAATCCACAACTTCTAAAAATAAATCCTACAAAGAGGGGTAATCCACTCTCTTTAAGGAAAAGATTAGTGTTAGAAAATAAGATTTTTTGTTTAAAGGTGGGTAGTTTGCAACCTTCAAAATATAATAATAGAAGTGGGGTTATCCACTTACTTCTAGAACAAGAGAAAAACAATATGTTAGCATTCTTGTCAAACTGTCAAGGACATGAATCTCAAAGAAAGGGAATCCTAAATACACTCTTCTATTGCTGAAGAGAACTAGAAAGTCACTCAAAAGGTAATGTAATATTAACTAGAATGGCTATTGCCAAAAACAAGAAGATTAAAAAGTCTTGAAACAAGACCAAGACTAGAAAGGCGTTGACAAGAGTGAAGAAGGCTTCACTCTTGCCTCCATATATATTATCTAACTAAGAGTCACGTGGCGATGTCCTATAGGACCTCCAACATGTGTTGACTTTGGTAGCCACATGTCTTATCTTATAAGGCAAGTTATCTATGTATGCGCCACACAGTTGGCTTGTTCCACAAGCTATTACACGGAGGTAACTTGTTCCACAAGCTACCAATACATAGTTAGCTTTTTGACCAAGTTTCTAACCTACAAATACATCTAAAGTCGAAACAGTGTCTATGAAGCTTCTAGGAAGCTTCACTAGAAGACTTTATGAAATTATTTTATTTTACCTACTTCTACTTAATCATGTAAGTAACTATTGAGGTAAATATATATGTCCCTAACATTTTATTAGAGATATGAACAAATCCTAAAGATGTTCCAAATGTTTTATTTGAAAGAAGTTATGAAGGCCTCAACAATAACCACATAATAAGGTGGTCTTCTTACCCTAGTATGGGATACTATTGATAGTTGAGAGGTCCTATCAACCATCTTTGAAGAGGACAAAAATCTAAGTATGTGATAAATAAAATTTATCGCATCATAGATTTTTTCAACATATGATAACCACTTTTCATGGAACTCGTTCCTAGAAGAGGGGGTAATGTCATAGACATACACATATAAGCCAATAATTACCTGTATAAATAGGTAGAAGTAGATAGAAGTAGATAAAAGTAAGTTAATTCTATAATATCTTTTAAGAAAGTTTTCTAGAAGCTTCATAGACATTGCTTTGACTTTATAGATATCCATTATTGACTTTTAAATTAGAAACTTAGTCAACAAGTTAACCTTTTGCCATACATGTTGGTAGCTTGAAGAACAAGCTAACTATGTGGTGCATATATAAAAAAACTTGTCTTGTAAGTCAAAACATGTGTCCTATAAAGTCAACACATATTGGAGGTCCTATAGAACATCGCCACGGAGCCTCTAATTAGATAGTATATATAGAGAGAAGAGTGAAGCCCTCTTCATTCTTGTCAACTTTTTTTTTGCTTTTAGTCTATTTCAAGAGTCTCAAGTTTTCTTGTCTTTTGGCAATAAGCCATTCTAGTTTCTTTTTAATATATGTACTTCCTTATTTCTATTTTGTTACTTTTTCTTTGACACGGATTTCATTGGTTTATACATCATCTTACAGTTCATGTTCTTGACAAAGGGATACAAGGTGGAAAGCATATTGAAAGGAAGATTGAATGCAAGACAAATTGCGAGACCAAAAGTGAGGTAGAATGCAAGGAAAAACATTAGGCTATAAAAGCAAGACTAAATATAATGTTGAATATAAGACAATATAAGTGAGACAAAATGTAAGACATAAGATTAAGAAAACCAATAAAGAAAGTGATGAGGCAATATCTAATATCTTATAGAATATAAGAGATATTCATGAAATTCTTAAAGCTAAGGGAGATCATTGAGTATTATTGTTGGCAATACTTGTTTATATGATCATTGAGCATCATTGCCTATGATATCCATATATATACAATATTAGAGATATTTTTAAAATTTTTAAAAATGAAATATTTTCAATATTTCTTAGTATTTGAAGAATATATTTGATTTTGATTTTGATTTTGATTTTTTAAGCTAATTTTCAATAAAACTACCATGATCATGAATATATATATATATATATATATATATATATAATATGACACATACAAATTCATTTTATTTAACTCCCAAAGAAAGTTTTTATTTTTTATTTTTTTTTATTACTACTATCGTTTTATCAATTTATCATTTTTGTCATTATAAAATCAATGATAAATCTATGATCCATCCAAATAATGTACATTCATCCAATTGGATGTTTCCCATCCGAAAAGGTGTGTGTCGATAAGCGACGAAGACAATTTGAGCAAGCAGGCCTCAGCGAGCTCCACCTTCCTCCATCGCCTCGACCAATTCTGGCGTTGGACGCCACCGATCTCTCATACTCAGTCTCCCAAATCCAGTGTAGCTCCCATTACCTTCCGCTGTCAGATTTCTGCACTGATGCGGCCCGAACCCGTCTCTTCTCGCCCCTGATAGAGCTCGTTGAAAAGCTGTAGCTAGTTTTGCGATGGCACTATCCCGTTTGACCCCGCTTAGGGTTTGGTTGAGGGAATTTGGGGAAAAATTAGTGAAGTGAAACGCCTGGGCAAGCTATTCCCTATCGAAGGAGGTATCAGAGACGTCCGAGGTTGCTATGTCGACGAGACGAGGGACGGTAGTAGTGGATTTTAGACGAGGTCGCGGGGAGAATTCATATTGAATGCTTAGGTGATTAGAATTTGACCTGCCATGCAAGCTTATGAAGCGTAGCTATGGCGGCCACCACGACTAACTCTCTAGTTTTGTACTATCAACTCTCTCAAAAAGCCCTGGGGTTGAACGTGAATCTGTCACCGAACCGGAACCCAGTATGCTGTGTGGTTAGTCCGCGGTTTAAGGCTCTCGCACTCGGAATTCAGTGTTTTCAAGGTGTACCCTCAGCCCCAGTTTCTCAAACAGACGGTAACTCACGCTCCATTCGGCCAGCGAATGAGGTGAAAGTGCCAGAGAAGATTGTCCCCCAGTCCGTGGAGCTTCCGATTTCAGCATTGGCAATTGCAGATGTAATTGGAGCGGGGTTTACCGCTGTTAAGAAACCGGCTGATTCTAAGCATTTCTTTACTACTGCCAGTGCTGAGTTTTTGGCTCTCTGCACCGAGCAGCTTGGACTATGTCAGGACATTGTGGGCACTCCTGCTCGGTTTACGGTACACTACTCCACACGTTTTCATCAGTCCGTGCATGATGCTTTTAGTTTCACAAGTCTAAACCTCCATTGGTGGTTTATCTATCTTACAGTTTGAAGTAAACGAATAAATTGATATAATCACGAGCTGACGTGCAGCATGGGTAAGGTTTCTAAGTAGAAGAATGCTGTAGGATTGAATGAACATCACCAAGGTCAACTAAAAACAACGGAGCTCAAATCATGAAAGCCAAATGTGATGAGCATTGTCGAAAGAAGGTGACTACCAAGGTTTCTTTCGTAAATGGTCTAATTGGAAGTTTTTAAACATACTGGACGCCCTGCGCTATCAACGAATTTTTGTGAGTTGATTCTAGGATGTCGGTGAATTTTGAGTAAGACGAAGTGTATTTTCTACTTGCATGATTGGAAGTCATTTAACTGTAGACTGAACTTCTAATTGCAGGTTTATATCAGGCCTGCGGAAAGTTACAGCACTGGGCAGCTAGAGTTTCATTGCATTGCAGTTTACCCTAGCCATCAGGACGAGCTTTTGGTGCTGAAGCAGTCAGATACTCTTGTCCCTATTTCACTGGCTGAGGCAAAGCTTATTAACCAAGAGGTACAGAGGATTATTAATGGAAGATTTATTCGTTGTGTTTATTTTTCAGCTTCGGTTTTTTATATTATACTGCAGTGCCAGTGAACTAAACGAATTGTCTCATTAGTGGGCTGGAAATGTTACGTCAAATGGATATTTCTTGGACACAATTTTCTCGATTATAACCTGGTAACCCTCGACTGTATATGGGGTCAGGTTGTGGAGGTGGCGAATGGATCAGCAATCCTACTTCCTATGGTGAAGGACTTGTTTTTGATAGGATTTATAGTTGTGGAAGGTGTCACTACGAGGTCCAGCACGAGTTCGAGTCCTAAGGCAGCGAAGCTAAAACCTATCAAACCTGTGTGGCCTCCGAAGAAAGAGAGATCACCCGTTGCTATTCCTTTAAGCAAACAGCAGTTGTCAGAGCTATCGAAAATTGCGCTTACCTTGGCTCTAGCATGTGTTGTGGATCAGGTACATTGAAATAACCTCCTAGGGCTTGATATTGGGTTTTGACGCTTTGATGCTACGGTGCTGCTACAATCACTGTGGCTTTTTCTAATGTGATCATGTTGATATAAAATAATTTGAACTGAGAAAAATGATATTTTATGAGTTGTTCTGTTAGTGGATCAGACACTGATGTCTAGATTATTTTTGGAGAAGACAAACTACAAGTACCCGAATGTAGTGATATCTTATCTATTAAAATGGTGGAATTTTTCGAATTGTGGCTTTGCAGCGGGCACTTCTTCTACAGAAATCCAACATGAAAAAAGTCGAGCAAATTGACGGTCTTTTAGAACAAGTGAGAACGCTCGAGTCCCTTAATTCTGTATAGCTACCTTAACTGGTCGTGGCAGATTTGTAACTTTATTTAATATTTTGTCGTGACTTTTAATTATTGTTTGTTGATGTACTTATTCACCAAACTGTCCTTATTCTGTTCTACCTGTTAACTAATTGGATTGCGTGTGAAAGGCCCAAGCGCCCTTGCAAGCAATAAGGACATTGAGCCAACTAATGCTTCCACAGTTCAAAAGAGGCGAGGTTCCAATCTGTACCCAATCTCCAAGCTTGTCAAATGATATTTCTATACTTCTGTACTGGTTGGTCTCTTCTGCTTTATATTCTATTCTCCTTCGCTGTGTTCCAAGTATGGTCTTTTCTTTTCCCTCAAAGGTCAGGCTGATTCTGAAAGTGGACTTTTGTAGATTTCTCGTGACCTTATTGAAGACATACTGGTGCAAGGTGCCCGCATGAAAGACGTGCTACAGCAGCTTCAAAATGTTACCAAGGTAAAAACTTGTGTGGTGAAGCTATATCTTTACTAGGTTGTAGTGTAAGAATGGAGTAGGAATTTTATCGCAGGTATTAATGCATTTCTAACGTGTGGCCATGGCTAGATTTTCAACTCTCGCAGATTTGATGCTTTATTTTAGATTTGCACGTCAGACATTTTCCTTGGCAATTTTTTCGCTACACACCCCGAAGTAACAGCGAGGATGTCTTGGGGCGTTTTTGGTGCAATTGTTTTGGACGATGTATGACACTGACGCTTACGTTTACATTTGAGCAGAGTGGTCCTAGCATAATACAGTCCTCTCAAGATTGGGAAGGAAATGTGGAAGAGTTACCTGAGTCAAAGTTGGCTAGTGAAAATAGGCGTTTACATAGCCATGGAGAAAACACTGACAATATTAGAAGACAAGGATCGCTTCCAGCTGCTCATTCAGATGGTCGAGCTGACGTTGAAGCTCCAATGCCCCCGTTGACACTCGCTCCTGTACCCGAGTATGATATCTCGAGGTTAGCATCAGTGCCTTGTTGTAGATGAAGGTCTTCCTCTTTGGCCATTGTGTTCATTTGGCTTTTAAGGTTACATGGCTTTTGATTTTACAAGAGCAATTCAGATGAGCAGATTAATATTCAATTGAGGCTGTCGATTTGTCCCCAGCGCCCTGCCATCTGGCTAGTCTTTGAAATTGTTTTGAATGTAGACCATGTGATGTAGCTAAGGTACTGAAACAGCTTGGAGAGGCTGCGAATGGCCTGGCAAACAAAAGGGGGCAGAATCTTCAGATCACATCTTGTTCTCCACTGCATGCAGCCGTGAATTCTGCAAGCCTTCATCGAGTTTGTAGTCACATTCTTGAGACTGCTCTTCAGCATGCACCCAGGGGAGGATATGTGAGGGCAAACGCGATGAGGGCACCCGGAGGTGGGGTCCTAATAATTATAGAGGACGGTGATCTAAGCACCAAGGTAAGCTGTTAAGTGACTAGTCTAGTAGCTAGGCCTTTGTAATCAACATGTGCAATGACTTGATTAGTATCATTTGATCTCCCCTTAAGTGTAATAGAACATTGTGGGTTTCCTGTTGGAACACAAAATTGGTACATACAGATGTGAATTGTTGTGTTACTCTTAATTTTTTTTCTTGCAATGTTTTGGTTCTTACTACAAATCCAGGGCTTCAATTCTGCCCGTGCGTGGAGAGGCTCAGATCTTGAGTATGCACTTTTGGGAGAAGATTTTCGGTTTGTTCAGAAGATTGTGAAGCAAGAAGGAGGTGTTCTTCGGGTGCTAGCTCCTGTGCAGAAGGATCTGCCTCTTGGTGGTGGCACTTACGTTGAAATCTGGCTTCCCGCCGTTCCCAACTTCGAAGACTTCCAAAATGGGGACGATGCGTTCCTAGGAACTGAGCCCTAGTGCATAATACGTCGATTTTCTGAGGTTCACCTGATTGGCAACTACAGTACATATTTTCTAGTAGTGTGACGGATTCCAAGGGTTTCCAATATCTATTGGTTTCATTTATTGTTTGAATTATGGCTGTTTTTGGATCCTTGCCAGACCATGCTTGCCGTTCACAAGATTAGTTATGGTTATTGCCATTGTTTTCGTAGATATGGGCGCTGGATTCGAGATCCCAGACCCTTGCTTGATCTAGAGCCTTTTTAATTGTCCATCGCTTAGTGTTGGTGCGGAGTGGTAGAACTCAAATTTTGTACAATATTCTTCAACCTATTACTACGATATTTATTAGTAAAGGTTTAAATATCTTGTCTTGTGTCGTATAATTCCTGCGAAAAGATTGTTTACCTGGACTTGTTCAAGTTAAGTATATGCACCTAAAAAATATCGTTTTGCATATGCATTTGTGATTTTCGTTTTTGGTTTCTTCTTTTATCTTTAAAATTTCTCTCAGTACAACCTCCTATTTGTGTTCAGGTTTTGAAACTTCAATTGAATGATTCATTTTCAGTAAATTTGTGAATGTTCTTGAAGAATATTTTTTCTTGGAGTAAAGATGGAACAGACTAACAATTACGCAAAAATAACCATGAAAAAATCTAACCAACCAAACGACCTATTTATGCACGTTGAGCACTACTAAAAATTCATCCAGATTCTGTACATTCATATTCTCTTCGAGACGACCGAACATCCTTCATCTTGACATCGTCGTCATAGATGTATGACATATGGATGAATGTACAAAGTAATATATTCATCCAGAAGACCTTCCGGCACCGGAAGCTGAAGGCTGAAGCTGGAGAGCGATCGATGAGCAAATTTGTGATCGAGCGAGCGATTTATGCACGAGCGGGAGCTGGAAGGGGAAGGAGAGGCGAGTGATTATTTGCGATACCCAGCAGCCATGGCGAACGATTTAGTGCTGGACACGCAGATCCGGGACTGGGTGCTGGCGCCCTTGTCGCTGGTGATGGTGCTGATCGGCGTGCTGCGCCACTTCGTGTCGAAGATGATGCGCACCACGCCCAACCCCGACCTCAAGGCTGTCAAGGAGGGGCAAATCGTGCTGCGCGCTCGCTTTCTGAAGGCCGGTGCCAACCATATTCCCGCCAGAGCGTTCCAGATGCGCAAAGCGTACTACAACAACGAGGAGAGTGGGCTGTTGCATGTGCCGAAGGGCCAGGGCAATAACATGCAAGCGCAGATGCTGTCGGACCCCAACATGGCTATGGACATGATGAAGAAGAACTTGTCGATGATCATCCCCCAGACGCTCACGTTCGCTTGGGTGAACTTCTTCTTCTCGGGCTTCGTGGCGGCCAAAATCCCCTTTCCGCTTACCCAGCGGTTCCGGTCCATGCTGCAGAATGGGATTGATCTCAGCTCCGTGGATGTGAGCTACGTGAGCAGCCGGTCGTGGTATTTCTTGAATCTTTTCGGGCTACGGGGACTGTTTAGTTTGATCCTCGGGGAAGACAATGCGGTGGACGACACGCAGAGGATGATGCAGACGCAGATGGCGATGCAGATGGGTGGGTTTGGGTCGGATCCTGCCAAGACTCTCGGCGCGGAGAAAGATGGGTTGGACTTGGTGCAGCATGAGTGGGTCCTTCCTAAGAGCGAGCAACGAGCGGAGTCTGTGTTGAGGCATCTGCTTCAGACCTAAACTTAATGGAATTATTTTTTTTCTTTTGTTATATTTTTCTTTTTTTGAAGTGAATGGAGATTAGGGTTTGGGTCTAGTCTTGAATAGTGTGAAAGAGGGGCATCGCATGTCAGCGAAGAGCACTCACGTTTGACACTGAAGAAAATTTGTGAATTTACACGGGATTTAATGTTCCTCTCCTCCCCCCGCCCTTTGCATCTGTGGTGTAGCATGGGACTTTGGTTGCATTGCTTGTCTGAACACAAAGGGATTGTACATAGAAATTTTCATTATAAATGACCAGGTTTATCATTTAAGTGAAAGTACTTGATATTCATCTAATGGGTAGGGATGGATAATTCTTAGTAATGAAACTGCAGGATTGCGTTGATGTTCTTTGAGAAAATACTCTTTGAGTATGTCTTCTGGTCTACACTAGAAAAAGACGAGAGAAGGGAAGGCGTGTTTGACCAAGAGATGCAATAGAATGTATTAATGCTGGGATTGATTATGTCTCCTTTCACTACGTTGATTTCTTTACTTGTTGTTTTTTCCTTTGTTTTCTTGTTGTATGGAATGAAAAAAAGGAGTGTTTTGCGCTGGATAGGCATGTAGTCACTGCCGGAATTACTGCCCGTGCCTTCTACGCTACATTCCGCTCCTTCTATTGGTTGTTTGGGGTTTTCGATAAACAGATAGAATTTCGGTGAGATAGCTACCTGTGCGGCAACTGAATGCCAGTCAAAGTGATGGATGGTCAGCAGGGTAGCTTTGATGCTACGGCACAGAGACAAGGGCTATTCACGAAGTATCTTCTCTCGTGGAGACCAATGTATCTGCTCTTTACGTCTCCCTATTTGTTGAGGGACCAGCAGTCGAGTTTCTTGACGGTGACCCTGAGGTTATTGTGCTTGTCGAAAGCAAAAATGACATGCGAGTAAGGTTCACTGATTTTGGCTCTCAGCGTCATTTCCACCTCAGACTCGTTCTTCGTCTATCAAGCGGCCTTCAGCAGATTTTCTTTTGACCTCATTTTTGACTCTTACTTTCCCACAGATGGGAGCAACATATGTCACGCTCATGAAATTTCTGGTCTCCTCTACTGATGGCTTCGTTGGAGGAAACCTGCATCTCCAGGACACCTGGGTCCCGCACATGGGGAAAGAAAAGCGTTCTGCTTTTGTCCCTGGATCAGTCTCCCCAGCTAGACAGCCTGTTGATCCATTGCGACCGTGGCAGGCTGGAATTCAGCATCATCCCTAATTTTCCCAACTGTCGTCCTGATTGCAGCGTCATGCTCATCCTCTGAACTTGTTGAAACCCATTTTACGAGCGACGAGACGACATTTGTGGCTGTGTATCGTTTTCTACATCATTCTCCAAAAGATCTGCTCATTTCTTCTACGAATCAGCTAAGCTTCAGACGCTGCTTTGGAATTGTGATAAGCTGAAGAATGACTCCGAAGTACCAATTCCCGACTTCAGCAATATTCAGAACCATGCTTTAGTGGGAGCATGTGGAAGAAGAGAATAGAGTGGAGCACCAACAGACTGCAACTTCTGTACAAGGTGAGAACAAGCCCAGCTCACTGAATTTCTTCGAACAACTCTACCCGTATTATTTCCTCACAGAATTAATGAACTTTCCAGCTTGGCAATATTTCTCATCGCTGTTCCAAATCGATGTGCCAGCAGCACAAATGATCATGTGCACAGAGAAGCTTCCCTTGTACTTCAAAGCTCAAAACCTAGACTCGTCGTATCTGTACGTTGCTCATGTGCCCACTGCAAAAGCAGCTAATCTAACAGTAATCTATTTTTGCAGTTTGGTCAAAGATAGCTGATGTTTTAGTCAGCGGGAGAGAATTGATTTTCAGGAGAGTGGGCCCAAATGTGGATTAGCTTTTTCCTCTTAACATGTATCTTTAAAGAATGAGAATGATTTCAACGGTAGGTGCATGGCTCTTAGTATATTTCTTTCTTAGACGGATCACCTTTGTACAGAGGGCATTTCACTTTGTATATAATTTTATTCTGTTGAATGAAATGGTTTCTGTGGAATTGACTGATTATTATTTCTTATTTCTTATTTCTTTTATCCTATTTCCAAGTACACTCCCACTTGAAACAAATCTGTGGTGCATAAAAAAATTTGCTTGTAGATGATGTTGCTCTTGAATGATATGTAGTTGAAGTGTCAAGATGTGGTTTGAACAATAAAATCATTGATTGATTCCTAGAGCTTGTGTTTCAAAATAAATAATCAGTAATTGAAGCATTAATATCATGTAAAGGTTACATTAGACTGATCAAGATATTAAGATGTAAATTATTTTGAAGCAGTAACCTCAAGTTGGTCTGAGATTCAATTATGATTATTATTATTATTCAAAACTTCATCTCATTTCATCACCTTAGAAAGTATGCAATAAATTTTCATTCCGCAGATTCCATGTATACATACATGTATATAATTGAAATTCTATCATAAATCAAGAATTTAATTAGAAAGCATCCACTAAGTATGAGAATTGCAATGTACTGTCAAAATCTATTGATTTAGTCATGCAAGTCAAAAACAATTAACGAGTTTTGTATCTTTTGAACTTGGAAATAAATCAAAGTTGTAACTTAAGGGAAAAAATAAAAAAATAAAAAATAAATGTAACACGAATTTTATTCATTCTTGCATCAACTAGTTTCAAAACAAATGTATACATTTACATGATTTTTAAAATTTAAACGTTTTAATGAATGTATCTAAAATATATATCAGAATAAACAGTGTAGATAGTTAACATATAATTTTTTGTTACAAAATTATATTGATTCAAGTTATTAAACTTTGATTTATGCATGCAAAGAATTTCAAAACTCAGCGTATTTTCATAGGTTATATTGTAAAATTCAACTCATGCAGTAAGTTGGTTAATATCTGAATTTGAAGGGAAATAAACATTTTAGAATTAATTGAGATTTCTATTGTAAAACTTGAGTTATAATAAATTATGTTTTTTTTGTATAATTTTTGAAAAAGAACATCACCTTTTTATGTTTTAAAAAATATGATTATACAAATCATCACCAATGAAATCATAAGGATCCAAACAAATAAGAAATGTATATATTAGAATAAAAAAATAAAAATTTTAACACCAAAGATATATACATTTTTTGCCTAATTCGTAAAGGTCATTGAATTTCAATAAGAAAGTAGCAAGAAAGAAAAGAAAGGAAATCAGGCATGCAATTTTGACTTTGACTTGTACTCATTTGAAATACTATGTATAAAACATTTTACACCAAAATATTAAGGAAATTGGCAGAATAGGCAACTAATTGAAATGAGGCATTTATGATCTTTTAGGGTACACATGCAAGTCTCTTGTGCCCAATTTGTAATAACATTATAAGATGCGTGAGTAAAAGAAAATGAGTGTTTTATTTACTTGTTTATGTAGCGGTGAGATCAGAAGTTAAGTTAATACAAATATTCTTTAACATCGATTTTATATATTTATTTATCTATTTCTCTCTTTCTTCAAATATACAATCAGGCTTTTAAAAAGTGTAAATAATTTTGAAGACGGTGAAGCAAGAAATGATCAATTACTTCATAATTACAACATAAGTTAAAGAAAATGGGACCATAAATTAAGCTACTTAAAATTTTGAGCCACATTGATAGAACATAAGAAAATATAAAAGGAAATTCCCTAAACAAGAAGAAAACCTACAAGGCAAAGTAAACAAAGTGGTAAGTTAAGAATTCAACAAGTAATGTGAAAATAGATGGTGTCAAGGATGTGACAAGTTGAAATATTTCATAGAAAAATATTTCAGACGTAAAATAAAGAAGGGAATATAACACTATGAATATCAATAAAAAGTTCTTTTCAATTTATTTATTATTTAATCCAAAAATTATAAAAGTATGATTATATTTCTTCATATAGATTGAGGAAATTCGTTTTTTTTGAGATAGATTCTTAAAATGTTTTGATGAGGATTTAAATATAAAGCCAATATATATTATTGTGTACAAAGATGTATGTGAAGTAGTATTATAGTTAGCTTAGAGTCTTATAAAAATGCATGGAGAATTATTTTTATCATCATTTGAAGAATGGGTGTTTTATTTTATTTTATTATCTAATATTTTATTGAAATACAAGCTAGCAAAGATAAGTCTTTTATACACACCCAAATAAACATGTTAACTTTATGAACAAAATCAAGTAAAATGGGATGATTGTCAAGGACTTTCATTTAGTTGAAATGCTATTGTGTTTTACTTTTCCTTGAAATTCTACAAAAGCCTAAATGAGTCACGAGATAGACACAAGATACACAAAAATCAAGCCTTTATTTTTGTAGCTTATTAGCTAAAAATATATTCGATTTTGTATGAAAGTCTCAAGCAACACTTAATACTATTAGCACAGTGGTGTTATTCTTTGTCCTGACTAGATTATAATTTATTCCAAGTTATTATACATTGTAAATTGCTTTTTAAAGAATAAATATGACATCAAGAGGCAAGTGCAATTCTATGACCTGTCGGTATTTATAAACTAAGTCATCAATAATATATATACATATATTATTGTACATGATTTAAGTAAAAGCCAAAGAACATACAAAATAAATGTTATGTTTTTGCAATAATTGAAAAAAGAAGAAGAAATGATTGGAGTTTATATAATATATTTTGTGAAGAAGTGAGTGTAAAACGAGAGGTATTATGTAATGATTTAATGCTTTGTTTTCTATCATTTAGTTGGATAATACATAATTCAAGTCAAATATTGGGTTAGGATTTTAACAGGCAATTAAAAAATATTTACTTGATGAAAACTTTAAGTTTTGAAAGTCTTAAAACATTTTAAACCAAAAAAATTGACATTCAACTTAACATTTAAGATTCTAAAATGTTTTTCTCATTTAATGTATGTAAAACATTCTTTTTGCAATTTTCTTGAATCAGGTAAGTTTATAATATACATCAGAAAAGGATTATGCTTGAAGGTATTGAATTTACTGAAATCTTTTTTTGGGCTTGATCTTTGATTGAATTTTAATTTTTACCTTGTGTATGAATGTTGTAATTAATGTTAGGCTCGAAGATGTGCTTACATATAACATTCAATTGCTGTTTAAAATTAAGGGATTTTAATTTTTCTTCTTGATCTTTATTTAACTGAAGTATTTTCATGGAAATATTTCATAAAAAAAAAAAAAAAAACCATTTATATAACACTTTGGTTATCTGTTGGTTTTAGTAATCAAGTCATCCAATATCAAGTTCTTAAACACTTAAAAAAAGATCTTGAACCTGCAATATAACTAGTTTTTTTCACAAAATCATTTGAAAAAACGCATCCCCAATTGGATACAAAATAATTACCCATGATTTTCTAATCTAAAATCAACATGTGAATACTAATTTGATTTTATAGTATACATATGATTTAAACAAGGCACAGACATAAAAAGAAAAAAAGAAAGCTGAGCAATTCCACACACACACTGTATCAAATCTACGCTAACACCCACAAGCAAAAGCAGCTGAAACCAACATTCCTAATAATCACAATAAAAATACATATGTCACATGTTGTCAACCATCAATCAACAATAGGAGAAACATACATTCAACATGATTCATTCAAACAAGTAAAATAATAATAAATAACAAAACAGAACAAGATCTAATATTGTCAACCAAGCCCCATATTCGGCTCACGGCAAAATTGACAAATGATCACAAAAAAAACGGCGGCAATAAGATACAATAAAACGGTGTTAGCGGAGGCCCATACGAATAAAAAATAGAAATAAAAAAATAAAAAAATAAAACAAAAGAGTCAGCACAAGTAGAAAAGCAGTTCATGAATGCAGGTGTGGATGGGGCTTCTGATTCAATTTGCTGACATGGACTCCCACTGCAGTGGCTCTCTCTCAAGTGGCAGGCAACATTGTCAACTCGGACTCTCTCCTCCTCCTCCTCCTCCTCCTCACAACGAAGGAAGGGTACCGCGCGGGTCGGGCCGGGCCGGGTGGGGAGGGAGCCTGGTCTTGCGCCCGTGCCAGGACTGGAGAGTGAGTGCTCCAGAAAGAGAGCGACGACGCCATGGACAGAAGAGAAGGCTCTCCAGGCAGCAGCGAGTGGAGTCCTGGTGGACCAGGGCGAATGAAAGTGAGTGAGTGAGAGAGAGCGAGAGAGAGAGAGGCCATGAGCTCATTGCAGGACCAGGAGGAGGAGTGCCGGATTGCGGAGCTCGTGGACCATTCGGAGGGGACTTGTTGTACCGCGCTGCGTGTTTTCATTGTGCCCTCTGTTGATCACTCGCGATGTGGCTGCCCATGCCATGACCTCGGGGAAACCCTAGCTTCGCTCGCTGGTCCTAGGCAGCACCAGCCGCATCGTACGCCCGCACGTAGTACCTTCGAGTGTCTTCGGCGTTGAAGTTCTGGCCTTTGCCTTACGAGGTGTTCTATTTAGGTTCCTTATTTTTTATTTTTTATTCTTTTTACGTCCGAGATGTGTGAAGGTGCTGGCTAAGATAGGGAGGAGAGTGCGGTGGTGGAGTTTGGAGGTGACGGAGTAGACCGGGTGTCGGGTTGGTAAGTGCATCGCAGTTTGTAATTTGGAAAGTCTTGTGGAAGAATTGATTCATTCTGTGGCGATTTTGAGTGCTTTTAGTTCTTCGTCGTCCTGGCTTGCGCGGCCGGATGTGTCCTGGCACTGTGTGAGAGAAGACGTAGGGTTGACCGCAGGGGATAAGATAGATGCAGAGGGGTTGAACAGATGGCTGGCGCTCGGATTCAAGTTCCCTCCAATGGCTTTAGATTTAAATTCTTCTCTTAGAGGTTCCACAGCTAGATGGTGACTATCTCAACACCGAGGCGGCAGTTTTTGTTGGTCTATCTTCAGGAAGCGCAATGTTGGGTCATGAATGAGGAATCACTTTGAACGGTGGTTCGGTTTTTCTACTGAAACTGAAGTAAATGCTGTCGAAAACTTTGTTCTCTGTCGCTCCACTCCTACCTTCAACTTATTATGCCAACAGCTGAACGATTTCGGACATTCTCTACTCTGAGGCCGTTGTGTACTGAAGAGATTGCAATGCTCGTGTGATAGGCTTGCGGAAGCAGAGTGCTTGCGAAATTAGTTCTTCAGCTGATGAACTTTGAGTTCAGTTAGACTCAGAAGCGTGTACCGACCGATTTCTGGCCCTGCTAATGTTAGTTTCATTGTTCGCTACGACTGGGAGTAATCCATATCAAAGGCGACTTTTGGCACGCAAATTTGAAAGTGCTTATTATTAATGATAGTGTTGTTCTTTCTGCTAGAGCCACTGACTTCGTACTATTAAACTCATTACATCACATTGATTTGCCTATACTATTTCGCGTTTGGATATCATCAAATTAAAATATAAGAAGATGCAGCCCCACTTTTTATCAGCACATGTGGCGTGGGATATATGTTCATGTGTTTGGTCAATATGTTTTAGACTGCATTTTGCCTCACAATTAATCCGGAGATGTAGTGGATAGCTACACTTTTTTCTCCTGAGAAAGTGTTGTCTTGTGCAGCGAGTACAGCCTGAAGGATATTTTTTCACCCGAAAAAGCTGAGTTAGGCAGGGCTGTTGCTTAATCATAACACTTACCCGATCTTTACCCAGCTTTGGAATCTCTCTCAACCAGAAGGATTTTCCGTGGTTTAGACAAGATGCAGATTTTTCTTGCTTCTTTAAGAGTGGGAAATTAGTACATTAGAAGGTGAATCGAGTGCGGCACAGGATAAGAGGGTTTTCTGGGCTTTGGCAAGGTTTGTAATATTTGATTGGGTCATTCCTGATAATTAGCGTGTCCCCTGTTTCGTTGACAGATCGGCAATACTACTCCCTGAATGCCTGCAATACTCCTACATTCTACTTCCCAGAGAATCAGTTCAACCCTCTTGGGATGTGCGTCACCCTCCCCCTTTTTAATTTTAATTTTAATTTCAATTTATTTTTTCCTGAATCTTTTTTAGAGGATTCTACTGTGGAATTGATGATTAATATTCTAAACGGTGTACTCTGAAGTTGCCTCTTTTTTACATCTCTTATGTCGATGGCGTGAAAATTCAATGAATTTATCTGGTACTGCCTTGTTCAACTGTAAAATGATGGCAGATACTTCTTTTGACTCTGTTCATAATATCCGCTTGTTTGTATCACAGAATTATACATCAAGCGGTCCCGGAAATTGGCTTCTAGGGGTAATTTTTCTCCCAATTGATTTGTAGGCATTGGTTGTTGCACAATTAAGGTTTCACGTAATAAGACTGTGCTTACAGAGAAAACAATAGCGCAATGGTTGTCCTTTAAACGATTGTTAAGCTATGCAATAGATCGAAAGGGAATTACGTAGGAGAATAGGAAAGTAGTCATTTTGTGAATCCTATTTTTTGCTGCTGAGAGAGAGAGAGATTAAAGAGCTGCGTTCGTGGTGAAGGACTTTAGGGGAAAATGAAGTCGTTCAAGAAGCTGCGGGACTTCGCGCGACAGGGGAGCAAAGCTAAGGAAAAGCAGAACAATGTCAACGACAGCCAGCAGCGCCACCAGGTGCATGGGGTGGGCTACATGGAGCCAACCGAGGATGCGGAGCTCGTAACTAAGGGAATGAAGGTTGTTATTGAGAACATTTACTGGCCTTTCAGTTCTACTTGAGCTTATTTGAAAGGTGGCTTGGTTTGTTGGTGGTGGGACTTTCCTGTGGTAGAGATGGAGATGGACGACCGGTTTTTGTAGACGTTTGGATGATTTCGTGTGTCTTTCGAGTAGACGCTGCATCCCTTCTCTAACCGTTGTGAAACGTGTTTCGACTCTTACTTATATTGCAAATATCCTGCTGGCTCTTACTTGTCTACAGTACACGAACCCTGTACTGGTCTAAATAAATTGTGCCGCAGGATGTTAGAGGCATGCAGAACAAATACGAGTCCCTTGTGAGCTTGTCTGCTGAGGTTTCTCATCGAGCTTACGGTACAGCTTCTTTCATTTTCACCTCATTTTATTACTTAGACAAACCAGCTAATAACATAAATACTTCCAACCTGTTGAACTATTTCTGTACTTCTTGCTAATTGAAAATTACGAGTCTTCATATGCTCCTGGTTTTCGAATTGGAGATCAATCAAGATTTGAACCCGTATTTTGTACTCGACATGAGATTGTCGTGATAGAATTAGTACTCTGACTTAGGTACTTGTATTGCTGCTCAGACTTATCCACAGCTATATCCGAAATGGCTTCATATTTTGCGGCTCCTGGTGTCTTGGATGATCAAGACATTGGTAAGTCAGTACAGAGATGTCTTACGAGGGTATTAAAGTGAATTCGCCCTTTTATAGGTTAGAGCATGAGTTAGACGCTGTAAGAGTAGTAAGTCTACTGGTGGGGCGTAGACAGTTCAGGCTGACATTGTGGTCACTTATGTATGTCGTAGAAATCAATTCACATTTATTAGCGTAAATGATCTGCCTCAAGCACTTATCAAATTAACGCTGGTGTTGTTTGTGGCTCAAGAAATTGAATCTTTAGTGGGACTTGATGCTTTTGATGTGTTTTTAGGGAAAATATTCAAACTTGTGGGAGAGGTGCAATTTGAAATTTCAAAATCTTTGGAACTCTATGTAAGTGAAGCTAATCTATATCATGTCTTGATTCCTTCAGCTGCATGTTAAGCTATTGCCTGTTTCTAAGGATTTTTTATTGCTCATGTTTTGCTCCTAAGAATGGTTTAGACATCTCAGAAGATTGTAAGATAGTAGAGATCAAGAGGTTTCGTTTGGAGGGAATCAGTGTGTGGGCTCAATACTTTGATTAACGCTTGTCATTCTTAATATTGCTTCACTGGGACCGATTTAGTCTTTAACGTGCCTGTAATTGCATTTCAGGCATCCCATGTTACTCAAACAGTCACTGCACCTACAGAAAGTCTACTTGGTGATTTACAAGATGTCATGGTGTGTCTATATTCCCTTCCTGCTTTGTGGAAATTCATAAGTGGCTATGAATAGTCGAGAACATTTTGATGCCAATTTTGTTGGCCTGGATCCTCATACGGTTGTTCCACGAGGGAATTTGACGAAGTATTGTTAGATCTTTTCGGGTGGAACTGCCCAACTCTCTCTGCATTTTCTGTGGTTTTAACGAAGTGCGGAGAATTTGAGAGTAGGATCGAATTAAAGTTGGCCATCTATTTTCTCACTTAAGATTTCTCACTCTGGCTTCCTATCATGACAGGAAACCAAAAAGCAGTACGATGAGAAAAGGTAAGATGTGTTTTGATTTGCTTGTGATATTGTCTTGGTATTAATCGACGTTTTTCAAAAGTCTTTGCAGCCTCCCTGGTGTCTCTAAACACGTCTTACAAATTTCCAGAAATAATTCAATGGTTGTCTTAGTGCACATTGCGTGTGGTTATTATTATGTATGTTTTTCGGTATTGCGTTTTGCTTGGTTCAGGGTTTGGATATTAAGTTCTAGTAGTTTCAGACTCTCGCCTAAATTTTGGCTGGGTAGCTTTTCTTTACAGGCAGTCTTTGGATTATCAACGTCTGCGCATAGCAAGAGGAAGATCTAAAATCGGGAAGGCTGATGCTCAGGAGGAAGAGCAGCTAGAAAATATTAGAGAGCAATTTGAAGAAGTTAGCCGGTTTTTAGGAGACCGATTACTCTCGCTTCGACAAGGCCGGCCTCGAAGCCTTATAACACAAGCTGCTCGTCACCATGCTGCCCAGGTAACCTTTTTTCTATTACTTATTTATTTATTTATTTTTTGTGTTCAGTTACATGTGGATTTCGCATGTTCCCTATCTGGGCTGTATTACGCTGGTCCAATTTTGGGTAGAGTTAAAGAAGCTGGTCGAAATCCACATCAGCGGCTGATTATCATAAATGAACTGACCTCTGAAAATGATCTTAAGAGCTTGGCTGTATATGCATAATAATTAAGGAACATTGATGTATACAGAGTATCGTCCTTTCTCTTGGTTGTGCAGATGCAGTTGTTCAGTAGAGGACTTACATCACTTCATGGTATTGAGCCACACATGAAGCAAGTCACTCAAGAGCTGAACATTGACCGACGTCTAAATCCTGCTGATAGAGACGGATTTGAGAATGAGGATGAGGATGACGAAGATGTGTCAGACATTGACCATCGCCTTGATGATGATGGATCATATTTTGATGATGCCGATGAAGAGAAGGAGCGGCACCATGCACGAGAAGATGATTTGGGTTCGGAGAGCTCTGGAAATGTAAGTATACATGTCGATAGATTTTGACTCCCTGATTTCTCGAAGCTGCGTGTCCATTGGTAGTTCAACTTCGTCTATGATGCAGGGGATAGGACTGTTGTCGTTTCTTACTCGGAATACCCCTATTGTGCTCAGGTTTGGAGGGTTATCTGATCTTGCAGGAAGGTAATTCACGATTGAACATTTCTCGGGAATGGAGCTGTCACATGGCATTAGAAAGTGATAGGCCTGGAAATTCGGGGAACGAGGGTGATTCTCCCTTGCCTCGATGGATTATCAATGGGAGTAAGTCAGCACCCACATCACCACTTGCCACATCTGATGGTGTCGATGAAGTTGACAGATCTCCTCCCAGATACATCTCTGCTGTTCCACCCCCCACAAGGTCGCCACCACATGTTTCTGATAGAAGTCACTCGGGAGTGTTGCATAGTGGTATGCGGCATCAAGAACCCAAACCCTCTACTTCTGAACGGACTTCTCCTCGTCAAAATGTTTTAACGCCTGGGCTAACCCCACGTTTTCAAGGGCGATCAACTAAGATGGTTGTCCCGATGTCGATGTTTCCGCCATTTGATCATACGCAGACCACTTGGCCCATGCCTTTACCCCCTTCAAGTGATCCTCCTCCAATGTTGAACTTTGCAAGTCCTTCTTTGTCTTCAACTCCTAGAGGCTTTGTTGCGGTGAATTCTGTTACTCCTAGTAATAAACCGAAAAGATACAGTTATTCAGGACCTCTAACTTCTTCCGCAAAACCCAGAGATACTGCGTATTCTTCGGATGTTCCAAGTAGTGGACCGCTGCGGCCATGCCCATCTTCAACAACGAAATATGGGCATTGTAGATCACCCAGACTGTCTCCATCCATCTCTCCTAGAGTATCTCCACCTCAAATCAGCGAGTTACACAAACTTCCCCCACCTCCCCTTAGTGCTAGCTCATCTCCTATCGCATCATCATCAGGTTTGATTCCGCACTCAGCCCCTGCGCATAGGCATCCTGAAGGCGCTACACTGCATGCTTCTCCTCTTCCTCCCCCTCCTCTTGGTAATGTATCCCGGAGCCTTTCCATTGGAGGAACTTGTAAGTTGCAAAATACACAACGGTACAAGGGGGTGACAATTTCTGAAGTGGAAGAGGATGCTATGCCAGCTATACGAACTTCGCACAGTGGGCATAGTGGTTTGCTAAGTTCTAGCAACCCGCACATGGGCAACAAGGTAACTCTTTCTGTTCTTTTCTGAACTGAATTTTGTTTGGCTTCTACCACAAGACTACCGCAAATTATTTTCATGTTCATTCGCAGGACATATATTAACTTAATCTGGTTTCTAGTAATCTGTTCCATCAAGTTGATAGATATGCTTCTCTTGGTGTGGCTCCTCGTGTTATACCAGCTTCAGATTGCTTGATTTAATATACAATAATGGTATGACAGAGTCCCTCGCTACAAAGAAGTGTATCTGGATGTGGAGTTTCTGCGGCTCCCAAACATGGCGCACTTCACTTGACATCTCCCGGCAGAGTCCAATCTGGATCAAGTGACAAAAATATGTGGAGATTCAACACTATGATCCACTCTTCACCAAGTTTGACTTACAATTATTCAGTGGAGTCACCTCCATGTAAGCCAGTTTCTCACTTCCAGGGGCCAATGTGATGGTTTTTTAATTAGTCCTAGCAGCTGCAAACGCAGTCAGTTTTGAATGGCGTCTTCTCTCGCTATTCAGGTACTTTATTCTTAAGTTGTAGGTCGATCCTGATGTTTTGGTTGCCATCCTCTAACAACGAGAGCCATTCTCATCTTGTTCTATCAAATGTTTCCACAGAATGTTCTCATCGTGTCATGTAAGTGCTTAATGCGGAGTGACTCACTTAATTACTTCCGGTGCTCAGCTACAAGTACTGCTGATGAGGATGAAAAAGCTCAGATCGCCGACACCGATTTTGAACTAGCTCGTCGATCTTTGGACGCGGCGCTACCAAGCAGCACCAGCAATACCACGAAACACCCCAAATGGACCAAATGGAGATCATTTTCAAGCCATGATACGGAGGATTTGTTCCAATTGGGGACCCAACATCAATACCGGGATAGCTCCCACCAAGCGCATGGGTATCACACTCTCCCCACCCTTGGTACCACCAACGGCGTCCGACATGCTTGATGTTTAGTGGTGGCAGGGCTGATATTGTTCCAATAATCCCCCGTACATATAAGTTTTCATAGCCCGGTGTATATTTAGGACAACTCTTAGGTCTGTTTGCTGAATTAAAAATCATGGATTTCTCTTTTTCTTTTTTCTCCACTGTATTAATCGTACATTAGAAGGCCCGAATTGTCCAGCTCCTTGCCTCTGTGATTTCGTCACTCGCTGTTCCTCATCATGCTGACAGAAAGAAAGCTGAATGGAGCAGTTGGGTTCTCAGTGAGGCATGCCTGATTCATTCCGCAACATAGTGTTGGAGCGATACTACTGATTGCCTAGCTATACCCGTGGGATGTTGAATCTTACGGACACCGAGGATATGCTGTGACGGACAGATTGTTTGAAGCCATACTGCAAAATAATTCCCTGCTGTATTGCTTCATGTAGTTTTCAATTTCTTTTAATTTTGATCTCAAATGACATATTTCCATAGGAATTTTAAAAAGTTATCAGTCATGGATTGTTTAAAACCAGAATCATAGCACTATCCCTTAAAAGAACGCGGTTTACTAAAATTGTTGTCATATGCCAAATTACTTAGTTGGAGCATAAACATATTTCTCAAGTCATATTTCTGCAGCCTAGTAGGAAGTGGGATTTTTGAAGCATCTGGTTTAGTAGATGATATACTGTTTTCTAAATTTGTTTTACTTCAGTTGGTTCTACGTGAGAGATATTTAACATGATTAATGACTTGAACTCCATCAATGCCGTAATAGAATTTCCTTTACCTCATGTATATTTGATTTTCTGAACCAAAAAAGTTTGTATTTTTCTATGTACTGGTTTTAAATTTAAAATGGAGGTTTCACCGAACTCAACTTCGAAGGTAAAAGACTAATTGATATAACAGTCCTAAAAGTATATATCATTTAGAAATCAGTGAACATTCATTTATGTTTTTATCATGATGTTAAACTGTACAATCCGTTTGCATTCCCCAGTTGCTTTAACATATAAATATATTAATGTTATTGTCGCTGAAAACACTTCCAAGAAGTTCTCTACTAAAGATATCGTAGTGAATTGTTTATATCCATATTATTTCTGATTTTTTAAATGAAATTTGAAAAAATAAATAATGGCAATAAGTAATGTTTGAGAAATGAAAAGAGAATTCTACATTTTTTTATTTATGTTTCATGTGTTTGTTTTGTTTGATTTTATGTTAATATAAAATTTGATCATCTTTTGTATTTAATTTTCAAATTTTTTCAAATCAATTATGTTTTAATACTTAATTTGTAGACAAAGCTTATAAATCTGGATTCAATTGTAATGTATATGAACTTGAAACATACTGGTTATAGTAATGGTTTTTTTCAAAACCAAATTTAAACCAACAAACTATAAATTTGAACTTAAAAGAAATTTTTTTATATTGATAATTTGTATTGGTTTTAATTTTGAAAATAGGTTTGTTATGCTCTAATAAAAAATAATTAATATAATTAACTTATGTTGTAGTCTTTATATAATGGATTGATGTCTTGGTGTGTATAATTGTTGGAAAAGTACATCTAATGAAAAAAGATATGTTACAATGAGAAGAAGAAACAAGTAGACAAGTCATGGAAGAAGAAGAAGAAATCAAAAAAAATATAAATTCCAAAATATCAACAAAAAAAAAAGTAATGTAGGCATTGTATAAAGTAGGTGCAAAAATGACGATTTTGTCATGATTTTTTAGTTTTGTAAATCAATTTTTATTAGGGTCATATACAAAGAAGATGTTTAAAAACAAAACTTGCATTTTAAGTGTCACTTTAAGTTCTTATGTAACAAATTGGATCTTTTTTTAGAAAAGATATAATGTTCAACCAATAAGGTCATTGTATTGACTTGCAATCAGGTTGTACCTCAGAAACCTTAAAGAAATTCTAATCAAATTGTATAAACCAAACAGCGAACTTCAATGGAAAACAATTTCTGATTGGAATGCTGAGTTAACTTCAAAAATTGCAAACTATTGGCTTTATAAGTCATGAATAAGTTCACAAATTTTGAAAAAGATTTAATCCAAGAATTAAAAAATAACATAATAAAACCTCTCTGGATAAAACTCAACTTCCTACTAGTTTGATAAAGAATTCCAATAGCTAAATCTTGTAACTCAGTCATTAGTTTTTGCTTTAACTTAGTGTGTAGCTTTAATTGTATGTTTTTTTATTATTTTCTTTAATATAATTTTTATTAAATGGTAAAATCTTTAAAATTTTAAGAATAAAAAATAATTTCTTAAATTATATATTTTTAGTTCTATCACATATATGTAATCCAATATTTCTCTTCTAAATTATTATAATAATAATAATAAATATAATATAATATAATAAATCAGGTTTTTACTTATAAAATAAGGCACTTATAAAACTTCACCTATATATTAAGCTTAGATTTTATAAAAACTTTATAAAAATTATTCTTCTATTTATTACTTTTGAAACATAGTTGATTACAAAAACCTTTATTTTTTTCGTCTCATTAATAAATTTTCTTGTATAAAAATCCTACAAATCTTATGTGCTTATAATGCTCTTGAAACTAATTTTTCAATCTCATACTTTGATTTCTAAAAGACCCTTCCATTTTCTATGTGTATTCTTTATTTTTTTCTCAAGGTCTAATTTTAATTGTGTCTGAAAATATATTTCTATAAAGAATTAATCTAAGAATATTTATAGTAATTTTAAAAAGATTCTACTCTCAACTTTTCTTTGGAAGTGATTGCATTAAATTCTTACCTATTTTATTTTATTTTGACTCATTTAAAGTCCTATAAAAGAAGTAGAAGCCATTTTTATAGAATAGGTAGTACAAAATATTAAAGTTGTAATTATATACAATTTTTTAAAAATAATTCTACTTTTTGATTATTTTTAGATATTTTTGTCTTTTTCATTTTTTCATATAATAATCATATTATAATATGACAACTTGTAAAACAATTAGGACAAAATATCCTTCAAACTAGCACTAAGTAATGTTTTTATTTAATCCAATTATAAGGTTGCTCTATAGATTTAATTTTAATATGCCTATCTATATTCATGCCTACTTGTATTAATTAAGAAATTAAAAAAAATCTAAGTATGACAAATAATATTAAAGATAGTCTTTTTCTTACAAAGTCTTCAAAACTTGTAAAAAAATCATTGAAAAATTCTTCTTCTTCTTCGATAACTCCAAAAATAAACTCATTATTCAAAATGACACAAATTCTTTTTAATTTTTTTCAATCTTCTTAATTGATCCTCTATTCATACAATCTAAATCCTTAATCTTTTGAAAACTTACAAATCTATCTTCTATCAAATTCCAAATCTTACAACATCTCTTTTGTACATTGGAGCATACTATAGTAGATGATTTCTTTGCATCTGTGGCATTTCATGCTCTATATGTGCAATCTAGAAATCCAAAAAATTATCATACTGATGGTCTATGGAAGTTTCCCTAAGTTGATCTCTATGCCACTCATAATTTGGCCTTATTATGAAAAATTGGACTGACTTTTTGCCATCTTGGCTACAAATCCTAATTTAGTGTGAGCCATCATCTAACATCTTAGATTACATCTTTGTTGCAATGATATATGACTTTCTCAAAATGATTGGATAGCTTTCTTAATTTTGCACAAAGAAATTTTGCTCCACTTTCACATTACCAATTTCGATGCCCATTATTAGACATGCTCTATAAAGGCTACTTCTTTCATTATTGGCAACTTTCATCACCCATCCATGGTTGGTGTCAATTGGCTACTTGTCCATTCTTATAAATCTTTTAAAGAAAATAGTAATCTTAAAGCCATGATCCATCAATTCTAAGTTTGGTTCTTCAAGGCCTCTAATCTTCACACATGTCTTTGTATTAGCTCTTGTCCAAATGGATGAGTATAAGCTATGAAAGCTTCTCTTTTACTCCTCCATATCTTTTTAGCCTCACATAGAGATACTTTGGCTTCCATTGTAACTTCATCTTTACAATTCTTCTTAATATTAGCTTCCACCTTGATATTTGCTATTCCATTACATAAAAATATTTGTAGTATTTCTCTCTCTATCTCATCATAAAAAACTTCCTCCATATCTTTAACTTTTGTATTCACAATCTTATCATAAATGACTCTATACTTTTTGCTTTAGTCACCATTGCCCTCATCATCACATATTAAAGCAAACACTTGTCCAATTTTATTTTATTTTATTTTATTTTCTTCCTTGGTCATAAGAATATCCACTGCTCTTGCCATCACTATTTCAGTTGTCATTTGTTACATCCTCTTAACAACATCAATGATGAACTCATGAAAATCTTTTTTGGCAATATCAAAAGCTCTCTTTAAGATAAACTCAATCTTTTCATTTAAAATCCTCTTCTCTAAAATGCCTTTTATGTCAACTAAGGATTTAATATTAGATTGAAATTTATAAGTTGGCGCCTAACCTTTTCTATTAGTCTTGTCTTCCTTTTCTTTGTCTTTGTTGTTATTCATTTTTTCTTCTCACTTTTCTTTTGAGAGTAGAACATCAACTCTTGGATGTGAAGCAAAAGGCTTTGTATCATGAATATATTGTCACAAACATACATATTTATTATAATAATTACCTATATGATTAAGAAGTAGATAAAAGTAAATAAAAGTAAATTTATTTCATAATATCTTCTAAAGTAGCTTCTTAGAAGCTTCATAGACATAATTTTGACTTTATGTGTATTTATTATTGATTTTTAGGTTAGAAACTTGGTCAACAAGTTAGCCACGTATCATACATGTGGATAGCTTGTAAAACAAGCTAACTATGTACTGCTTACATAGAAAACTTGCCTTACAAGTTAAGACATATGGCTTGCAAAGTCAATACATGTTGAAGGTCCTATAAAACATTGCCATGTAGTTTTTTGATGGATAGCACTTATAGAGGCAAGATGAAGCCTTCTTCACTCTTCTCAACTTCTTTCTTGCTCTAATTTAGATTCAAGAATCTTTAATTTTCTTGACTTTTGATAATAATCATTCCAATAATCTTTTAATATATATGTTTTTTTACTTCTATTTTTTTATTCTTCTTTGAAAAAAGTCTCATTTGATTATTTGCTTTCATTGGATTTTTATCCTTCAAAAATTGATAAGAGTATACTTACAATACTAGAACTTTGTCTTTTTTTGATTAAAAATGGATTACTTCTTTTTTTTGATAAGATATAGGTATTTTTAAAGTTACAAATTATCTTCTTTTAAACTGATATTGTCTTTAATATTTTCTTTGTTCTCAAGTCCTCTCTTTGATTTATCTTAAGTAATATTAGACATCTTATCTTTTTTAAGTGTTATCATCACAGAGCTTCTTGAAATAAAGAGTGCAATGGCAAAAATATAAAATCAGTTTAGAGAGTTAATGCTTACAATGCATTAACTCAATTTACCACCACAAAGAGCAGCAATAATAGCAAGGAGCAAAGATATAGAGATAATTGGAGCTATTTCAATATGTACACTAAATCTTATCTCTTTTCTTATGGTGGAACATCCTTCTACTGTTAGAAAATTAAAAATTACACTGCT